TACGATACGATACCATACCATACCATACCATACAGTACATACAGATACACATACATACACATACAGTACATACACATATACATACACATATACATACACATATACATACACATACACACAAATACATACACATATACATACCCATATACATACACATATACATATACATACACATATACATACACATATACATACACATATACATACACATATACATACACAATACATACACATATACATACACATATACATACACATTTACATACACATATACATACATATACACATACATATACACATACATATACATACACATATACATACACATATACATATACATGTACATACACAAATAAATACACATATACACACACATATGCATACACATATGCATACACATATGCATACACATATACATACACATATACACACACATATGCATACACATATACATACACATATACATACACATATACATACACATATACATACACATATACATACACATATACATACAGATATACATATACATGTACATACACAAATACATACACATATACATACACATATACATACATATAATTATTTGCCTTAATGTATTACTTGTATTTCATAATGTGCTATATTATTTGCTACGTGCGTTAACTATATGTTTTGAAGCCACGCGCACACGGATATGTGTTTTGTTTCATGTAGAATTACTTTTTTCTCCCGGGTAGAAATTTAACTACAAACTTACTGGGAATGGACAATAGTTCAACAGGTCATGGCCAGATTCTTTGTTGAAGGAATAGGTATTTGAGATTAGCCACAGCTAGATGAATGACCCATTTCAATAAGCCACCTGCCAGCTATAGGAAATTGCCGATTGAATTTGTTCAGTCCATCCTTGTACTTACGCCTATGACAAAATAAGTGTATATATATATATATATATTTATTTACACACATAGTTGGCATAAGCTGGTCACTGAGGTTCCAGGCAGTCATTTTGAGATGCTGGGACTGGGTGGCCCCGAGGTTTAGTTTCCTCGATCGCATTTTGGCACACGGCACTCGTGCAGCTCGATGGGGATCACGGCGAAACTGCAGACATTTTGGTCATTTGTACCCTCTGGTTATGTCAAAACAGCTATTGAACATGGCCCAGTCGAAATAGTTGATGAATACCCATTAAAAATGGTGGTTTTCCATAGTTATGGGACAGCTTACCAGAGGGTACATATTTGCACTCAGACACTCAGACTCTGTTTTGAAATGATATGAAACATCTGAATGGTGGCAAACATCTCGCAAATCCGTCCAAAAAACATGCTCATGTTTCACGCCCGAGCAAGCAAGCGAGATATATATATATATATATACCTGATAACAAAACAAAGAGATGTGCTTATTGATATAATCTTGTTTTGATCGTTTTATACCTATGAGTATGTGTTTATATATATATATGAATGTTAACATATACGCACTTATCCATACACATGTGTTTATCCTTGTGTGCGGCCATATCCAACATGTCATGGCTCGCCTCAGGTGGTGAAGGCGGCCTTAAAGGGTGACCATGCCTTCCAGTCACTGGCTTCCAGCTACCAGGCGACCAAAGATTGTTGAGTTCCTACCATGAATCCATGTTTTTTTCTCCCAGTGGTAAGTGCATAGGGTACCCTCTGGTAAACTGTCCCATAACTATGGAAAATCACCATTTTCAATGGGAAATTCCACTATAAATGGTCATTTTCAATAGCTATGTTACATTACCAGAGGGTATCATCTTAAGACCTTAAGAGTTGCTAATTGAATGACGCTTTGCGAATTAGGATATTTTGCCCAGATCCAAGGAAAACAAGGGTTCGTTTCACAAAGGACTTTCTGAATTTCATGTTCATGGATTTTGCTTCAAGTACAATTTCCATTTTTCCTTGGACATGAGAAAGTGCCTCACGATTTCTTTCATGAAATTGGAAAGTTGGTCCGTTGGTGATTTCCACTTACAGTGCGAAGATTGAACATCCTGTCCTTAATCTATTCCACCAGCAACTTGCAAGTTTTTTTTTGCAATGGGAATGTGGGAAGTTTCTATGGCTCAAGCTAAACCCAAAAAGCGAAACTCGATTGGTAAACTGGGATGATACAGGTTGCCCTTTGATTCACTGGTTTACATTCATTTATTTAACTATCCTCTGCTTATTTAACATATTTATATATAGTTAAGTTATGAAAAATAATTAACATGTTTTACTGTAGCGGGTATATAAATCATGATAAGTCATTTAATGTCATCTATAGATGGGCCATTTTTAGCTATGATTAAAACAACAGATGGTTTGTCATTTAAACGATCCTTTTTTGGGGGGATACCATTTTTTTGACATGCCAACCAATCAGTGGATGGACCAATTCCTGCACCAGTTGGTGCAGGACTATGTCCATCCACATTGTCATGCTGTTGGTTACATACGGTTATATATATGGTTATATCCAGTCAACATCCATTCTTTGTTGTCATTGTATGCGTTATATTCCAGTATATCCCATAAATTATATCACTATCATACACCACCATGTTCATCTCATGCTTTTGCTTTGCATAGATACAATTAGATACACATACTAATATACATATATTACGCGTAATTATACATATTCCAATATCCTGATTTACTCCCGTAAAATGGTTAGAATTATATACTATAGGGCCCAGTGTAAATTGGATGTGTTTGGTTAAATCCTGGTTGTGATACTAGCCATACGTGCCATGGCTGAAGCTTAAGGTTGCCCGATGGGTTGGATGCACACCCAGCAGGAGCTACAAACGGAGTTCTCCAACCACATTATAGTAATAGGATCTGTAAAGCAACAATGTTTTCACCGTTAACAGATCCATATATGAGTCACCGCAAAAACCCCGGCAATACTAAATATGTATTGGACGGACATTGGTTTATGGAAATTGATGGAAGTTGTTAAAAACACACGGTAAGCGATGGGACCTTCCCAAATTAGCGATACCCCTTTTCAAGGTTATGTCATTGTATTTCTGAAATATCCACATTAGCGATACCCAAATCATTATTGTACAAACATGTGGTAGGCGATGGGACCTTCCCAAATTTGTGGATGTCCTTTCCGTGAACCTAGGGTTTTCGAGATTGCTCATATGCAAATATTATTCATATATTGCGATATTATATATGACAGATCGTATGCATGTCCCTTAGAACAATGTAGATAAAGAGCATATAATATACAGAAAGGACTGTTGTGGCCGCCCAAATCTCACACTTAATATGTATAAAGAATACTTCTTGTGAGATTTGGGTGTCACAACATTCCCTTCCGATAACTTGTGTTCTTGTGAGATTTGGGTGTCACAACATTCCCTTCCGATAACTTGTGTGTTGATATCTGTTCAAACCCCAAGGATTAATCTGGATTAATCTGGGACCAAAAAAAACAAAACGCTTTACGCGGTGAGGGAGGTAAGATGCGCGATGTTGATTCCACATCAAGCTGTTGTTTCCCGACTGAACTATGACACTCATGATGCAGCTTAGGGTCAGGTAGAAACGTTCAAGCGCCGTCCCCAGAGTATAATAAATCCTGGGGCGAAAAAAGCATCCTGGAGAACTCTAGCGATTGGCGGGCATGGAAAATTGTGCTTATGGGACTTAACTTTCTTTTCTTCTTCAAGGAATAATGAAAGGTATCTAAATAATCAGGAGCGGTATATGCATTTACGTTGAAATTGTGGAAACATTAGGCCATAATCATTCCACTAAAGTCGCAAAGTGCAACTGGGGGGGAGAGTGAACAAGGTGCCAGAGCGTAAACCTCCCTTAATCCATATTAATATCCTATTAGTTATTCATCAACAAATCATTTACAACATTTGACAACTGATATACAGATGTTTCTTGATGTTTCAGTAATGTTTCCATCAATTAGTGGAAAGTGAATGAGATCACTTGAGTCAGTCAATATTAAGATTTCATACGCGGATAATGTCAACCCCGGGTTAATACCCCCCAATTGGAAGGGTACCATTTCAGTAGCCATTTATCACTATTTAACTATATACGGGGTTGACATAACATGCATTAACTTATCCATTCATATTTCAGTAACTCGTCCATTCATCTCCTAGGCCGAGCGGTCAACGACCTGTTGGGCTTGGAGATTATTGTGAAGCGCCTTGGCGTGGCGTTGGTGAGAATATGGGTGCTTGTTGACCAAAGACACCATGGGATTGGGAAAATTGAAGCCGAAAAGTCCCATAGTTTATGTTCTCTATATTTTTTAAAAAGAAATATGGTTTCCTCCCGTAAATAAATCCGTTGTTTTTATCGGCAAAACGTAAAAGAGAAGCATTAAAAGTTCATATTGTTGCCATGGTATCTTCCTGGATTATGGCAATTTGGATGGAGAAATTGACGAAAACCGCTTAGACAAATCATTGGGTTGCTGAGTACCGAAAATCAAACATAGAGAATTTGCTGGTGATGTTCAATATAAATGGATATAAATGGGAGATACCAGGATGCCCTAATTTCTGGCCATTCAGAATAGGGTAAACCATTCATCAAACATGACACTCCTGGGTGCCATATGTTGATGTTTCTTTTGTTCGGACACTTATTTGGAGGGATCATGATGGTCCCAAATGCATCCAAACGCCAGCAACGAAAAACAAGTGACATCAGCCATTGATCGAGCGTATCGGCAAAGCGAAGAGTTTCAAAGGACTTCAGGGCTCGGAACGACTGGGGAACCATTTGGAAATTTATTTCAGTGTCCACCTACCCAAGTTGACCATGTTGAATATGTGACTGTCACTTTCAGGTGGCCATGACATCGACTAGATATCATGATGATATCATCATATTGTGTATCCGTTCGAATGGTCTTTCGTATTTGGGGAAGTTTCACCTGTTTCGTATTGGGTATGTTCCTGTGTACCTGGTGTGACCAAATCTCTGGTGCATCCGAGGCCAAGGCACATGATTTCCGGCAAGGCGAGGCGGCGAGACTCGGTTGGTCTCTGGAAATACGCCTTAGCAACCCCAAAATAGATGGAACGTGATGGAACAGTTGGAAATCTATAGAGAATATGAAGCAAACTTCATCGCACGGACATCCTGGAAACACATAAATCAGCATTTTTTTGGGGATTGCTATATGTTGCTATAGATTATCGATGGTGATGATGGTCAGATATGGATTTATCCTTGATAGATGGGATGATTCATCTCGATGAGATGGCACTGACGGTTTTTTTTGAACATGTTGAAACCACCCATCGTCAACCAGCCTAAAGTTCTTGGCGAGTTCCTGGCATGTCTTTTAAAAAACGCTCTCTATTTGGAAGATGATGTCGTAACCTGACTGCGACCTGTCGTGGGTTGAAACATGTTGAAACCCTTGGGCTGTTGTTTGGCTGGTGGTTTTGAAATATGTTCGAAAGGGGTTGATGGTCCCCAATGACTTCAATATTTCCCATGCGGATGAAAACGACCCACCAGTTGCCCTCCAGAAAGACATGTAACATCTACAAGGTCTACCATTTGTAGATCATGTTTCTTGGGTGTCCCCAGGAAATCGCATTTTCTTCGTGTGTTTAACCTCTTACCCATACGGTACCCATAAAAAAATATAACATGTGTCCATTTGTTCAACGTTCAACATGGGTGTTCATATTTTTTCACGGGCTAATCTCTGCTGTTCCCCCTCTGGGTCTTGAACATTGATATGGAACATGACCTATGACCTAGGTGAATTATAGTATATATATATATACATACATATGACCTATGACATCCTATGACGCTCAGGCTATTTTGTGTAACATATATATCCCCGTGGCAATTTCCACTCTAGAACTGGTGAACCTGTGCATAGTTTAAACGAAATTCTTAATGTATTGGAATTTTAAAATTGATGTCAGGCTAGTCATTTTATTGTTGGGGGGTTGGGCTAAGCATTTTATTGTAAAGGTAAATCCTGAAGATTTTTAACATGTTAAAATTCCATTCTCATTTTATTGCAAAAAAATGTTTGCTTGGAACATTTTATTGCAGAATGGAACCAGTGTTTTTCCAGGATCTTTTTATATCGATTTTATTGGGCATGTCATTTTAGATCAGCGAATTTTAAGGAATTTGAAGGAATTCTAAAAAGAATTTTAAGGAATATTAAGGAATTTTAAAGGAATTATAAGGAATATTAAGGAATTGTAAAGGAATTATAGGGAAATTTAAGGAATTTAGAGAGTTTTAAGGAATTTTAAGGAACCTTAGAGAAATTTTAAGGAATTTCAAGGAATTTGACGGAATTTGAAGGAATTCGGAGGATTTTTAAGGATCTTTAATGTTTTTAAATTTTAAAGGATTTTTAAGGAGTTTTTTGGATTTTTAAGGAATTTAAAGGATTTTTAAGGAATTTTAAGGAATTGCCACGAAAGAATGCCACCGTATTTTGTTGCTATAGAATGCTATTAAAAAAAAACACTAAATATTTGGGCACCTTCACTCTAAAATACCCCAATCTAAAATGGATTTCCTGACCTCTTTTTAAAGATGCGTTTCTGAGGGTCTTCAAAATTGGATGAAATTGGATGATGTTGGATGCACATTCAAGCATGAATTTGGTGGCAAGGCATTTTATTGCAGAGCCAGTTTTCATTGTTTTTGTGCATTTTAAAGCCTGAGGCCTATGCACAAAAGTTAGACCGCTCTAAAACTCCTGCACAGCTTCACATAATGAATTGGCACCCCGATGCATATATATATATATATATGTTGTCATCCCCAAAAAGATGGAAAAGTAAATCACCATCAAATTAGAAGGGATACAATTTTTTCCATCTATTTGGGGATGACTATATATACATGTACATTTGGGTGAATTACAGTGACCTCACATCGCGGCAAATCTCGTGAGGGGGAGCTCTCGGCCTATGCGGCCGCTGCGGGGATTCTGCGTTATGTCTCCAGCCACTTGGTGCGTGGTCCCACTGAAGTAGGTTCGTTCACCTTAGTTACCCTTTGGTAAACTAACATAGCTATTGAACATGGCCATTGAAATAGTGGATTTACCCATTGAAAATGGTGATTTTCCATAGTTACGGTAGTTTACCAGAGGGTATAGGTGGATTAACCCTACTTATCCCACTTTTAAAACCAGGGATACTACTTAAGTGGGATGAGGCACCGAGTATGCCATTTTGAGCGGAAATCCCTAGAAATGGAGGATATAAACTAGGGACCTACTTAGGATTCCTGGGATAAGCCACCAAGTAATAATTAACCAAGCCTATGAATTTCTGCATTGTGGGGGATACAACTCTGGGGCTTTCGGATGTTGTCATTCGAGAAAACCATAGGAAACATCCACTGAAAATCCCACGGATGTTCTCTGGGATTCTAGGACTTTCAGGTGCCCAGCCCATGGGTGTAGCTACAAAAATTCTTGCTGATGGTGTGCTTGGAAAAAATGGTGGGCTGCACAGTGTGATGACGTTTTTTTTTGTGCCATCGATTCAATAGGCAATGTATATTTTTTCAAGAAGTTGCAAAATGGGCAGAACTTTGTTTAAGCAGGCGCTGTGCCAATGGAAAGTGGATGGATGTCTCAGCGGCCTTTCCCCATTTTTAGGTTTCTGTTGTTTTGTGTGTGTTTTTGCGTTTTTTTTTTTTTAAGACATTTTTCTTGGATGCGTTTTTTTTTGGGGGGGGATGTTGATAGGATTTTGCTGGGATTGGATTGTGTTTTTGGGGTTTGGGGTTGACCCATTTTTTTTTTGATTTTGATGGTGTTTTGATGGGATTTTGTTGGGGTTGAATTGTTTTTTTGGTGGTTGGGGTTGGCATTTTTTTGTTAAGATATGTTTGTTCTGATTTTGATGGGCTTTTGCTGGTTTTATTTTTTTTTTTTGGGGGGGGGTTGGGGTTGGCCAATGTTTATGTCGTTTTCAGGTTTTTATGTTTTTTTTTCTGATTTTGATGCTGTTTTGTTGGGGTTGGATCTGTTCTGTTTGTTTTTTCGGTTTGATGTTGGCCCAGTTTGTTTTTTTTTTGTGTGTGTGTGTTTTTGATGTGATGGGATTTTGCTAATAGGTAGATCTGTTGCATGTTCAATGATTTTCCAGGCATTTCCTGGGAAAATTCAAGAAATTATAGTCGTTTACTACGGGGTTTTAATTTTAATGGGATATTTTTGGGAAATACGAAGTTGGAAATGCCTCTTTCACAAGGCTCCAAGGCGCCCTAGTCCTATGAGAATTCAACAAGCCATTCCAGGATTTCACCAATCGATGGAGAGATAAATAGGATTTAATTTTAAGTGGGATATGTATGTATATATATATATAAATTGGCATTTTTTTTATCAAATAAGTGAGCACATTACCGGGATTCAACATATTCAACCAAGCCTATGATGGATTATGATGGTTAGAATAATTGTTATTTAATTGATATAACCAACAATTTATCAGGATATGCCGGACATTTTCATTGGGAAAATGATGCTGGTTGGTTGAGAACCGGATTCCCCATGATGGATCATGATAATCTCCAACATTAGGTACGTAGTCTAACCCCCTACAGCCAATAATCATCAACTAGTAGCAGTTTGAATACTGCTCAAATGACAAGGGGGCTTCAGCATCAAACTAAAAGACCCCGCAGTGTCATCAAACATGGCTGGCTCGGAAATTCCGGACATAAGATCTTATAAGTATCTATCAATATCAATAAATCTGCACTTTAGTTGGAACATCCAAACTAAATTGGTGATTGTCCATTGCCATGTTTGATTACCAGAGGTTAGACATGTGATGTTGCTTGACTGGGCCTGGACACCAATGATACACCAGTGCCAAGGTACACCCCATTTCTTTGGGCAGAATGATGCTTCAGAGAATAGCATTGTGACATATTGTGACCATCAGAAGTGCGAATCCCAATTCAACCATGCAACATCATGCCATCGTTGATGCAAAGACGTGGACCATGAAAAACCAGACCCAAATTCCTTTGAAATTCACCAGAGGTGTCGAGAATGGCTGGCGCGTGGCGCCTAAATCCTTTAAAGACTACGTGTCGCAGCCGAAGAAGTCTGGATATCAGGCGCTGCAGAGTGCTGCGTGGCGCGGGGCGTTGATCCAAGCTCTGATCATGTGGAAGTTGAGTGGCTGATGTATTTTTAAAAGGATTATTCTCCACAGAAGCTACTTGTAGCATTTTTCAACATTTGAAAAACTAACTAAACATTGTGTAAATCAATTTCGTTGAGTTTTATCTTGGATGTCAGAGACATCCAAACTTCTTGGAACAGCAAGTATGCAAAGATGATCCGCATTGACTGTCCTGCTTGTTGCTAGAATGCCACCTGTTGCCATGTTGAGATCGGCAAAATATTGTTGATGAATCATGGTTAGTAAGGGTATTTTGCACGAGTGGTCATACTTGGCAGGTTGGTGAATGATCACAGTTTATTAAGAAGACATGCAAAAAAACATACCCTCTGGTAAACTAACATAGCAATGGAAAATCACCATTTTTAATAGGTAAATCCACTATAAATGGACCATTTTCCATGGCTATGTTAGTTTACCAGAGGGTAAACTAAAAAAAAACTGATGACTTCTTGGACCATTGGAGTCTTACTTTAGTACAGTTGTCTCAAACATGTTCTTTTTCGTCTCTAGGCTTCGATGAAGGGAACAAACATGGTAAAAGATCTTTCAAGAACCCCTACCCTCTGGTAAACATACAAAAAGCTATTGAACATGGCCATAGAAACAGTGAGTTTTCCCATTAAACATGGTGATTTTCCATAGTTATGTAAACGTTTACCAGGCCGGGTAAGTTGAATGTGTCCTGAACATCAGGGGGGAGCCTTGGGAGCCAGGCCATTCATTTGACGCTAGCTCCTTGGCCAAAACTGTTGAAAAAGAGCATCCTCCGTTTTTTCTAAAAAAGTTCCCTTACTTTCCATAAAATATGTGGAACAATGGCTCCTCTTCCCATGTTTTTCCCAGAAAATCAGCCCAATTATAGTTGGATAGGATCAGTTTCCCAAGGTTTCCCCATAAATTTGGGGATCCCGCTGCTTCGGTCCCATGATTTTTGGGAGAATCCGTGTCAATGTTCATTGCTTAAAGGCTTAAAGGAATGCCGCGCACCTAAATACTGATTGCGAAAAAGCATTAAAACACATACATACATGTATACATACATTATATATTGTAATATGTATATATATATATAAATACTGTAATCTTACATTTATATATAATATACATTTATACTTATACCTATAGTCAAGTGAACATATTTGGAATCACGCGCGCACATTTTTATATAATATATATATATATAAATATCTATAGATATGGCAATCCCGCCCAAAAAAAAGAGGACTAAATCACCATGAAAGTAGTGAAGATTCATTTTGATGACTGTATATATTTACATAATATATATATATATACCCATTATCTATATTGAGACATATGTATATATATATATATTTGTATATATATATTTGTATATATATATATATTCCCAGATGTTTCCACTCAATATCGCCACAGGCTGGACTTTCCGCCCAGGTCACTGACTTCCAGGCCTTAGCCCTGACTTCGTCCTCTCCGTCCTCTCCGTCGTCTCCGTCCGCGGAGACGAAACGGGCGCCGTGCCAACTGGAGCTGCATATCTTCACGGATGAGATGAAGTCACAGGCATGGGACTAGGGGATCGAGGAGCGAAAAAAATGGCGAATCAAATCACATTACTGACATCTCTACCAAATGGGAAACATGGTGATCTATGTTTATTATTTAGGGATATTTAGGGGTATTTTGTATTAGGGACCTAATTACATTGTTCTAGTACTGCATTTAAAACTTTTAAAAAACAGAAAGCAAAATCAATTAGATAAATTCCTTTTTGAAATCTAATTGAAGTATTGCCAAAAATTGGATTTCGATGGTTCCCCTAATGTCAAGCTTCAATTAAACAACTTTTTCTATGTGAAAATGGGGCCCCAATACAACACCAGGTGTGATTGTTTTTATTAGGGACTAGGGGATAAAAACAACTAGTTCACCATCCTGTTCTCATTGATCAGTTACCGCAATTAAGAACGCAATTGTAAGCAACCCCAAAAAATGAAAGTGCCAATTCAATCCTACTTTTATTGGGGAAGTTTTAGTAATAGGGAGAAGAGATTAATGGATGAAAAACTGGGAATAATCGGGGAATAGATGAAATTGGGAATAAATAATGGTAGTGATTTCCCAAGAATCTGGATCTTGTGGGGGTATCGTAGCGAGTTCCAAGATTGCTAGATGGTGAACATAACATTCCTACAACTAGGGTATATGCTCGGTATATTATTTTTAGTTTAATGGTGTTTATAAGCAAGCTTATAACTTCGGGCGCACAACATTGTAGATATACGGGGATATTAATGGAGATCGCAAATATTATATATATAAACATATACATATATAATGGGAATTTGTAAACTTTTCTAACCAACCATATGTGATATGGTTAAGGCACTGGCAGAGCAGGCTGCAGGAAACTTAAACTCAGACGCTGAAGCTTTGGGCTCCCATCCATTGTGGAACATGGAATATGTCAATGGATTAGTAATATTATTATATGGGTTAATATTATATTACTAATCCATATATTAACATTAGTAACCCATATTAACCCATATTAGTAATATATTGTTAATGAATGTAATAATCAATATTTTTCATATATTAACCATATTAATGGTTTATTTAAGGAAGGAAATGTTCAAGTCAAACTTCAAACAATATGGACAGATGGAAAAGCAGAGCTGGGGAGAGTCAGAGAAGAGAAAGGCAGAAGAAAGAAGATCAGAGAAGAGAAAGGTGCGGAGCCATCTGGGGAGATGAGAGATCAACAATGGCCTGACTGTAACAAATTACCAGAGGGTTTTTCATCTAACTGATGGTTGGTTCATACTCCAGGTTTGATGTTTATTATCCATGTTTGTCGCTTATATTCTTCCCAAGAAATCCCATCAACATCCATCAACTAGGCTAAGATCCCAGTTTTTCATGTGAACCCCCCAATTTTCCCACGTTTATTCCCATTCTATCAATAGATATCCCATCATTCGTGGGTCATGTTTCCCAACAGAGCTGCGACCAGGAACGTCGCGGCCCCGCCTCCCACGCCAGTTACAAAGCCTTCCCGTCGCTCGGGAAAAGTGGTAGAACTTGGTGAACATTTCCTGAGATTTGAAGGTTTTTTTTAACAAACAATGATGCAGAATACATCCCCACAAGTAGGTTGCTTACCAAGAAAAACTGGAAATCATCGGCAGTACACTGGTCGTTTACCAGGAAAGGTGGCACAATTGTGGGGTTAGTTTGCGGGGATGCATCCCCGGCTTTCTATTTTCAAGCGAATTTCTGTAAATGAGCCAGTATTCTGCCACTCATGATTGTATATAACAATTTGTAACATATATTTGACTTAAAACTTATATTTGTTTTTTTTGCTCGTAAACAACTGCAGGTTCTTCCTCAAATCAGCCAGGCTTCGCCCCGAAACCATCTTGGAGAAGTTGGGTGGTGAGACAGGCAGGGCCTAGCACTGCGCCTTGCTGAGCAGGGAAGATTTGAACAACTTGGGGAAAAGTAGGGTTGGTTCATGGGTTGGTTTATATACCCTTTGGTAAACTAACATAGCTATGGAAAATCACCATGTTTTATGGGTAAATCAACTATAAATGGCAATTTTCAATAGCTATGTTAGTTTACCAGAGGGTACCTCATGATCTGCTTAAAAGATGTTAAAAGGCTGAATGATTATGGGAGAAATGATCCGAAACCCATCCGAAATCAACCAAACATTTTTGTCAACCTTTGTTAGGTAGATTTGGGTAGGGCAATGATGGGCCGTTGGCCATGAATGGGATATCGATATTATATATATATATATATACATATAGACACACTTTTACACATTTACACATATACGTATATGTAGATGTATATAAATAAATACATAAATAAATAAATAAATATGATATATACATATGATTATATATGTATATATGTTAGCCAGGATAATAATATAAAGTGTTTGAAAGTTACATCAGAGTAGACAGGGTGGGGTTAGAATGGCAAAGATATCCATATTTACTGTATACCTTTTGATAATTTAAACGGATAAGTATACCTAGTTATCGATCATTTACATTCATTTGCGTGTCTTAGATAGTGAATGATAGTGATCTTCGTTGATTTTCCAATTGCTATGTTGATGTTTTATTATTATTACTATTATATATATATAATTATATAAATTATACATACAGCATCCAGAAGGATCCATAAGGTCGCCCCATGCCGGGACACAATGTGCGCAGGCGTGGTGTCGATCACAGAAGTGGCCACTTGGGCAACTGAATGATTTTGATGTATTATATGATGGACAAAAAAAAGGAAATATAATGGGATACCCTCTGGTAAACTAATAGAGAGATTCAACATTGCCATGTATGGTGGATTTACCTACTAAAAATTGTGATTGTCCATAGTTATGTTAGTTTACCATAGGGTGTATTTATAAATGATGTACTGGAAGATCTCTGGATATATCTGGATATCTAATTTCATGATATATCTACATATATACAGTCTCCAATGGCAATATAGTGGGATATAGATATAGTTGATGTAAATCCAAAAGCGTTTTTAAAGATCCCAAACGCATATGTTCTTTATTTATTTGTTTATGCTGCTTTAAGTGAACAGGTTGGGAATCATTAATGCTTTCATTATAGATCAAGATGTGTATGGAGGACTCTATCGTGGATCTGAGCCAAAATCGACTGACTCAGCAGGGTTTTTGACAGCAACAGTGCTACCATTCTATTTTAGCATCTTGTTTGTGTCCAGCTGGCATATAATTGTTGTTCTGTCACCATTCACTACCCGTGATGCGAAAATCCCTCTTGACATCAATTCTTCCACGCTGTTTCCCCACGTACAGAATTAATGTTGAACCCGAGCCTTAATTGTTCGGCGGATGTGACTGAGGCGCATCATGATTTCGTGCCCGGGCCCGTGGATGCAACGCAGAAGTTGGAGGAAACACGGCTGGGTGGGAAACCGTGAGATGGCTTCCAGTCTAGACGAAGGTGCTTCAAGATGTCACATAGACGGGGCCTTGCTTCTCTTGAGGCATGAATATACAACACATATACGTATACATATATATATAATATTATATAATATTAATATATTATAATACTATATTAGATTTGTTCGATATGTATATATATATATATATCATATATATATATATGTACAGTACATGCACACATCAAAGACAAATCTGACTGATCCCCAAGGCCATCCTTGGCCTTCGAGATCGGAAACTTGTGCGTGAAACATCCATTGTTCCTGTTCCCGGCGATGAGTTTCATCACCATGTGTGAATGGGTAAATCATCTATATGAAACATGGTACCCTCTGGCCATAGAAATAGTTGATGACTACCTTTAAATAGTTGCTAGTCTTCCACATAGTCATGGGACAGTTTTACCCAAATATAAATGGGACAGTTACCCACATAGTTATGGGACAGTTTACTTATGTTATAGATGAAAGAAAGATGGGGGTAACGGTCCCATATATGAAACTGTCCAATAACTATATGGGATAGTTATAGGGTAATGGACAATTCCCCAAATATGGTTTAAGGGAAAATCTACAGGAAACTATAGATTTTCCCATTAGATATGGGGTTTTCCTGTCAATTTTCCCTTAAACCAATCCATTGAACCATAGTTCAATGATTTAAGGATCCTTAGGGACTCCCCTGGTTTCATTGTAAATCATATAGCCTGCTGGTTTCATTGTAAATCTTATGTCAATGGGAATTTCAGGATCCTAAAATGGAGGTACTGTACCATATAAGCGATATAAGGCCATATTTTGTGAGGATATTCCCTTACATAGGCCTTATATAGGCCTTATATATGGTAGGTACCTCCAATTTAGGATCCTGAGATGGCCATTGATTATGTTATAGGGTAATGGACAATTCCCCAAATATGAAAAGATGGCGTTCCTAGAAATGCCCAGCTTGGGGATGTCGCCTGGAGATGCCACGCCGGAGGAGTTGGCCCAGCGCGCCGGCTTTGAAGACATGGACCGGAGGGGATTTCGGGCGAGGGCCGGGGGATTTCCCAGCTATTGGGGCTACACACACACAGATATATATATATATATATACTTATTATAATATATATATATATATATATGTTTTTTTGGATTAATATATGAATATATATTTATATATATATATATTTATGGAGTATAGCAACCCAAAAAAAGTAGGACTGTAAAATCCGACTCAAGAAGTGATAAGATACTGTTCTATCTTTCCATTTGAAGGCGGTTTCCCTCTTTCCAAACGTTTGACGGCTATCACGGTTGGAGGCGTGGGTGCTCCCATATGACCCCATTTCAAAGACATTTTTTTCTGACAACGGTTCCAACTTAGACATTACTTAGACATGGTAACCCCTACGAATATGTTAAATTCATGCAAAAGCAACGTTTATAGCCTATAATGGTTGGTTTTGAATGAATTTGACATATATTATTATATATATATACTATACATTTACTGTATAATCATTTATAGAAAGATTCGATTAGATCAGATTAGATCAGATTAGTATAGATAGATATTCTATAATAAACCATCAATGACTTGATACCTCCCCTACACAAAACCGGTGTGTCGCAGGACTTAGAGGCTTTGCGCATCAGCCGCAGTCATGTGGATGAGGCTCCTCACGTCGCAGGAACGTGGCTGGAATCATGGGAAATCTAAGGGTAAGTTTACCTTCTGGTAAACTAACGTAACTATGGAAAATGGCCATAGAAATAGTGAGTTTTCCCATAAACAAATGGTGATTTTCCATGGTTTTTTGTATGTTTACCAGAGGGTATCCAAAAAAGTCGGTGACTCGCAGCAGGAGGTGATGGATAGCAATTTGGAGAGTGATTTCTGAATGAAGGTGTTACCTTTTTTGATTTTTGAAGGTGATTATTCTGAAGGTGATGGATATCAATTGATGGTAAGTGTGGTATTTGTTTATTGCTGAAAGTGATGTTTTAATATACCGATTGGATCCACTTTTTTTTTGGTTCATCATTTGGGGAAACTACTAGGAATATTTTTTGGGGGGGGAGCCTTCAGCAAATCCCAAGCGGCCGAACTTTGGAGGTTGAACTATGGTCCCCAGGATGCTGGAATACCTAGACGAGTTGAGACTGAAGAGATTGGATCAGATTGAGAGACATGGAATGACATGGAATGACATGGAGCCTCAAATAGCCTCAACAATCCCCTTTTCTGATCTTTTCTGGGGATACTCTGAGGGTTCAGCTGTTTATTTGTTCCGCCTGCAGCTAGAACAATCAAAGCAACTATGCAATGGTTTTCACATTTGTTACCTCTTGAAAGTATGAGCCTCGCCAGTCTTTGAAAAATGTGTTGAAACTGCATGGATCTACGATCTATGTTGAACAGTTGAACCTATTTGGAGCACCTTCAAAAAACAAGCCTGTTGTGTTTCAACAATATATATATATACAGTATATATATATATATACAGTATATATATATATATACACAGTATATATATACATATTTAATCATATTTATGTGCATTTATATATATATATATATATGTGTGTGTGTGTGTATTTGTATTTTATGGGTTGGCTGCGGGTAAATTACAGGTTGGAAAACTATGGATTACTTTTTTTTCCGGGCAGGGCCACAGACATGATTCCATTGGAAAGGACGAGGGTCACCCAGTTTGTATAGTATAGCTTTGTAGTCATGACCTGGGTCCCAGATGTCTATCTACAGTATGCAGTGCATATGCATATACAGTGTGATTTTATTATATATCCTATTGCCTACATGTATAATTAATCATATATATATATACATATAGGTAAATGAGAGGGTTTCATGTCCAATTCTCATGATATAGTTGGCTGTGTGCGGGTGATTTTATCCTTGGTAGGACTTGATATTTGAACCCACATGCATTTGTTTGCTATCCCATTTTTTGTTGGACATTCTTCATAAAACGAAACAAACAACATACCAATAGAAATAGTACTCGTAACATCAAACAGAGTAGAACCATGTTTCCAGGATATTTCCAGGTGTCCAAATGGTTCCAAGGTATTTTCAGCATCTATGACTGGGGGGTTGTGATCATAAATCAGCTAAAACAAAAAAAACATCAGCTATAAATCCCATTCAATCATATATTAAATCATATTGAATCCAAATTTTCGCTGGTTAAATCACTTTTTTTTTTTTTCGGGGGACCTCACCTTGTAGCCTCAGCAGCAAACAATCTCCAGGTGGTTTCCGCCTTCCAAGAACTCATGGCGTCCAGCTTGACTGCGCTCCCTGCAGCCCAGCTGAAGTTCTGGAGCCAGTGGGTGAAATCAAACGTGGCAACATGAAATCCGATGAAATGCCTTATAAATGGAGGTTTATAGCTAGGAAAATCATACAAAAATCATTTGCAAATGGTGGATTGTCCATTTTGTGTAAGGATTTAACCGGTCAACATGGACAACTTAAACATATATAGGTAAATCAACGGTAAATCATGGTAAATCCAATGGATAATGGTTAATGGATGTCAAGTGATAATGGTTAATACCAAAATTGTGATAGAAACACTCCGGTAATCAAACATGGCTGGCTAGGAAATTCCGGAATTCAATGGAGGTTTATAGCTGGGAAAATCATTTGTGTACATAACTAGATGGTGGATTTCCATTACCACGTTTGATTACCGAAGGGTAAGGATTTAGCCAGCCAAAATGGTGATTTTCGCATCAAGGAATAATGGATATGGAATGATGTGGGTTGGTTGGAGAATGGGGCTGCCAAAAAAACATTGCCATAACATAGAAAGATCAAAGGTGAGCCCTATTGTCAAACAAACCAGTGATATGATCAATTTGTATGATCGATTTGCACCCTGATAAATCTACAGTATATTGTTTCAGAATGAGTTCATCACCACTTGGGACCTATTGAATCCACATCATGTTTGACATTGAGTCTTCGAGTCATTTAAATGGTGTACGTTTGTTGATTCAACACCTGTTTAGATTTACTAAGGTGCTTAATCCAAAAAAAATCAATACAAGCCAGTTGAAACCGCTTTGTTTGTTCTGCATTTAAAACGTATGGGAAGTGACGATGACATACGCGGGCTGAGGAAGGCGTTGAAGATGTCGACGATGAAAAGGGCCCAAGAAAAGAAAGCAGCGCGATAGGTGTCAGGTGTCAGTACCCTTGTCAAAAACATTCCAAACATTTCCAAAACCAATTCTACCCTCTGGTAAACTAACATAGCTATTGAAAATGGTCATTTATAGTTGTTTTTTTCCATTAAACATGGTGATTTTCCATAGCTATGTAAACGTTATTACCAGAGGGTAAGAGAAACCGGTTTAACACCACTCCATAGCTATGCCAATGGTTTTCATGGTGAATCCTGTGGACTAAGATGCTCTCGTGAACGGCGATCGGCGCAGCTATTTGGCCCAGCTCATTTGTGATCATGTACCAATGTACCTTGCTTATTTACTTGATCATAATCATGAATCATATACTTATATTGGAGGTTCAAGGAAGTTAGAATAGGGCACCCAAAACATTCAATGTCATTTGTCAAAGAGAAAAAACAACAAAGGCGGCGGCTTCCCACCTTGATAGTTGATGATGGTTGGACGAGGTTGGCAGCGGGGCCAGGAAAATCTGACAGATTTTGTTAGAGGCTACAGGATGGGGCCCCACAGAACTGTGAATGTTGGTTTATGAACCATTATAATATATTATAACCCCAATTAACTATAATATAGTTATATAGTTATATCTATACCATAAAATTTAGAATCCTAGATCTATCATCGATTTCATCGATGGATGGGTGGATCGCTGGAGAGCCTGACATTAGGAGAGGTGCCATTCGAATGGCTTAGATTCGATGAAGTGGAACGGCGGCACGTTCCAGCGACAGTCTTTAGATAGTAAATCGCAATGTAAAGAATAATGTAAAAGTCACCTTGATGTAAAAATGTTATAGACATCGATAGAGGATGATGGACGTTTACAAGTCGCTGGGAAACAGACACTCCTTGTGCCACTTGGTCGCGGAGGATTATAGTAACCACCAAAAACGATAAGAACGTCATTTATCTCGATGGATTCACTCTCAGGGAACATCTTCACCGGTTTTACCACGGCTTTTACCATGGTTTTTACCATCACCCAGATCCTCATCGTGAAAAATGCCATGGACTCAACGTTCGAAGACAGCATTCGTTCTTGGTGTCCATCTTAGTTTTCCGATCTGTTTATCCCTTTTTGATCCTTTTTGTCACCGGAATTTACAGAAATCACCATTATTTTCCTGCAGCAATTTTGGATCAATCCGCCCTTTAGAGCACAATTTTGGGGAAACCCCACAAGAAAAAAAGGCCTCTGCCAGCGACAAGATGGCGCTCCGAGCATCGAAACGAAGTGCAGGGTTGTTACCGCTGTTGCTTTTGGTAGCGTTGCGACTTGGCAGAAGCTGCAGGAAACCATTGGTTTTTCCGTGAATAAGTAAAGGGCAGAGAAACGTGTGCTACAAAGGCTCTTCCAAGCGGTTGGAAGTCAACTACTACCCTTCGTCCGTTAATTAGTCCCCATTGATGGTATGGGTACTTTTTATTTTTATGTAATATCGTGCGTCATTAAATGCTTTCCCAAGGAACAGCAGCCGAAAGGTAGTATGGTTTCCGCTGGCAACACCCAAGACACATCAAAACACTCGAAGATGCCGGGAGTAATCACCTGAAGAAGTGAACTAGCTGAACACTCTGAGCAAATTTCCCCCTTTGCCCTGTTGAATCCCACCATTTTGCTGGATAATGTTGGATCCATGTTGATTCCTCCAACAGTTGAATCTCCATATATTGGGAAGAATCATCCCAACTGACTTTCATATTTTTCAGAGGGGTAGGGCAACCACCAACCAGAACATGTGTTGGTTAAATCATGTAAGCATTGGCCATGGACAATCGACGGTGTAGTCATCGATGGCAATGACTTACAAGTTATGAGACTATGACATAAAGCTTTGGCTATTAGGTGCTCAAATGTTTTTTTCGTATATTTGCTGCTTGAATCGAATCTGTTTATTTTCTGTTTTTTTTGGATTGGCTACTGGTGCAATCCCAATGGTGTTGAAACTGATTGAAACTGCTGGCTTTTGAGTCAACCTAATCCCATCCCAATATCAAGCACCCCTTGAGAAACCACGAGAAGCCATGGTGGATGTCGGGGATTATACACTTGTATGCCTTGTATGCTGGTTGGTGGTTTGGAACATTTGGAATATTTTCATTTATGTTCCATATATTGGGAATTTCATCATCCCAACTGACGAACTCATATTGTTCAGAGGGGTAGGTCAACCACCAACCAGTTATGTATCGGACCATTTTTCGGAGTTTTTTTCCCATCTTAGGGGGATGGGAATTCGATGGAATTAGTCACCCCTTTGGTCAACTTCGTTCGTGTTAGTGACACCCCAAGATGTGGATGTTTCTTGAAATAGGGGTACCAGTCATCATCCATTTGTGGGATTTTCCATATTTTTCCATGATATAAACCATCCAGCGAGCTTGGGGTACCACCTGCGGAAACCTCCATATGCTGCCCACCGAGGAGCTATGCCTTCTCCACCTTGACCTTTGTGTCCCTCAGCACGGCGCCGCGTCGGCCGGCAACCAGCCGTGTAGCTCAAGGAGACGTGACGTGAAAAGTGTGGGATGTGGTGTTCGTTGATGAAAAAATCCATGGAAATGTCCAAGATTTTCCATGAAATTTCCAAGATCCAACTTTGGAGATTTTTCGGTTTTCGAATGCTGGGATACGCTGCTTGGATGTATTGTGAACTGTGGAACCCCCAATGGTGTTTGCTACCGGCTACCAACTGGTCTCAGTTCCGGCAAAGTATATAGCGACCTCCACAACGACGTGCTAAATATTCTATGATAAGCTATTTTGGGAAAATTAGCCTAGAAATATCCAAAGACTGCTAATTACAATTCTATATAATTATATGATAGTAAAGCAATAGGATCCACCATCCCCAAATTTACCATAAATGCATACATGGGTGGGATTCCAACCAGTATAATATGGGTGGTTTATGATTTGTTTACTGACATAAATCGCAATTGGGCTAATTGCAATTGATTGCAATTATAGTAACATGTCCTTAACTAATTTACATTCATTACACTTGTGCTTAATTATATATGTTTTTTGATTTAATTATTATATAGCTGTCATCTAAACATAATATATATATATATATGTATAAACAATAGCACAATTCATATCATTTCACACCATATATTAATGATAATTGTCCTTAATTAGTTCACATATATATATATAATCATTAAGTCAATATGAATTTCAGTGACTTGTGCAGTGCCTGGTTTCTTTTGGAACAGATCTCCATCCGGCCAGGACGGGAACGCAGCAGAGTCGCCCTTGCCGCGCGCGGAGGTGAGGAAAATGGAGAGAAGCTGGCCGTAGGAGAAGCTTGGTGAAAAAAAGGTGTACCTTATCAGATTTCTTTGGGCAAAAGTAATCGCAAGATAGAATTATGATGAAATATGATATTATATACATATGCAATTTTTTGAAGTATGTACAGTCTATACAAGTATCTGAAGGCATTATATATCTACACATTAACACATTTTCAAATATGTACAACCTATACAAGTATATAAAAGACTACAAAAAGGTATTGTAAATAAATAAATAAATGCATATATATATATATATGATATATATATATATAATTTATACACTATAAACTATATAACACGTAATATCACTGTACATCAGTGTGATTTGATGTGGTATGAAATGGGACATATCGAAGGTCACACATTCCTAGTCGTCAAGATGTGGGATCGTTCCCCAAGGATTGGCGGCAAGCTTGACGTTTGCTGGAACGTCATGGGAATTTTTGGCTGGTTGGTGGTTTGGTACATGGCTTTCATTTTTCCACAATATATGGGACAATCCTTCCCATTGACTTTCATATTTTTCAAGATAACTAAAGCCACCAACCAGTATAGGTTTTCATGGGATGTCCAATGACATTTGGGATTTTTTGCTTGATTTTTTTGTGGATTTGAATGGGCTTCTTGCTGGAATTTAAATGAGTATTAATGGGATTGTTGATGATTACCCTCTGGTAATTCGTAGCTCCGGAAAATCACTATTCTTAATGGCTAATATCATTCTGAATCATCTATTTCCATGGGCCATTTTCCACAATAGCTATGCGAAATAACCAGAGGATATTGCATAGCAATAGATACCAAGAGAAATAAATTCACTGCCATGGTTGATTGCTGGAGCGCGCATTATGGTCTTCATTTTCCAGGGGCATCCCATTAGGTGGCATGTGGAATAGTTGATCCTGGCAGGTGGTTTACAAAGTGTATATACGCGTACAATATAATACATACAGCTTATGTAGATAATGTAGATATATTATATACCAACCCGTGCATAAGTATACTAATATTTGAAATACATTTGCATAATATAAATAGATATGTGTGGCTGCGGGCATTCTATACACAGCTATAGGTCATCACATCCTTTACGTCGTCGCTCTTCTGCCAATAGGGTGGTACATGGTGGTACCAAGTATAATAGGCATCTATCACTATGAATTTAGGGTCTGTTGATCGGGACATGGCGATAGTTGATTGTTTCAAAACATTAGATTATATCTAATAATTGATGTTTTCTAGATGATGAAGTGCTAGTATGCACATGGAAATTCAAGGTTGTGTTTTTCCATGTTGCATTAAGCCGCAGGGTAAGCCAACCCAACCTGACTCAGGACGTAGTGAGCGCTTTGTGCCCAGACGACGACCAGTGGTATCCGGGCACCATCGAAAAGATCAACGATGACAGTATCTTGTTGGAAAAGGTAGAAGCATCTTAAAATGGTGGTTTCATTGGATTAAAACGGGATTATATTTGGATAAACAAAAATCGAAAAGATAGAAACATCCCAGTCACCAATGAAAATGTATTGAAAATGGTGGTTTAATGGGGTTATAATGGGATTCACCAACCAAATTTTATATCAGCAGAGGGACGGGGAAATCTGTAAGGTTGCTTCCAGCTGCTGCGGTCCACGAGTCTGAAAATGGGGTTCATAGTTCCGTTTCTTTACCAGATTAATGGTATTACCCTCTGGTAAACATTATATACAAAAAACTATTGAAAATGACAATTTATAGTTGATTTTCCAATTAAACATTGTGATGTTCCATAGTTATGTTAGTTTACCAGAGAGTAACTCCAATGTAGATAGTTATTGATGTCATGTTGGGATATATGATAGTACTGGAAACACATGTATCATCAATGGGATTAGTGGTGTTGATGGGATTCCCAAATGCCCTTTGGCCCACTCATAAAAATTGTACAATTGAGGATGCTTTACGATTGCTTTACGAACATTGTGCCCAAACATTGGATTTGGGCTGCTACCTGGTATACCATGTATACCTTTATTTGTTTAAGACACAAGCAGGTTCACAGTTACTTCACATTGGTTTCTGTTTCAAGACGATTCAAACATGCTTTACCCTTCAGCCCTGGGATGGTGATGCCCCAGGGGAGTTGAATGTTTTGGAGATGGACTCTTTGACCAAGCTGGTTGGTCATCATGGTGTTTTTTTATCAGACTGTTCCCGAGATTAACGTCAGTGTCATTGGAGGCTGGGGTTTCAGCTACTATTAAATACTATTACTACCCCGGACCTTTGTACCTAGCCCTCATTAATCCTGACTTGGAGCAGCTGATTGCCTTCCATGACGGATCTGCAAATGTATGACATGCTTCTTGCAGATATCGCTTGCTTGCCGCACGTTCATTCAAGCTCTGATAGGCCATGGTAGGACCATGTAGCTTCCAGTAAACGAACATAGCCATGGAAAATATGACCCATGTATTGAATTACCCTCTGGTAATTTAACAGTTCGCTATTGAACATGGCCCAGTCGAAATAGTTGATGACTACCCATCAAAAAAGCATTAATAGCATGGTGGTTTTCCATATAATTAGTTATGTAAACATTTACCAGAGGGTAGCAAGTTTCAGAGTGGCGATCCATGGCTAAATCCGAGGCACTTTCTGCGTGAAATGGGATGACCCTGAAGGAGGGCCAGAGACCCACGACGTGCCGAGGCAACCATTAAGGACGACTTGGCACAGCATGGCACAGCCCTGGTCACCACGGTAAAAATCACCATGGATCACTATGGATCACCATGGATCATCCAATTTGGTTCATGGGATAAGGATAATCCATGGATAACCCATGAGAATCTCACTGAAATAGGGATAGGCTTATGGGGACAACTCGCTAACTAGAAAGGCTTATGCATTCTTATTCATACGTATTAATGTATTAACCACTTACTGCATACGTGGGATGATCCTCCAAGTGGAGAAAACAAAAGCCAGCCTGTGGCGATGGGTTCCAACATGTTCCAACATATGCGCACCAGGTCTGAAATTCGAACATTTGGTAGTATCCTGGTTGGTGGTTTGGACCATTTTTTATGTTTCCATATTTTCGGGAATGATAATCATAATCCCAACTGACGAACTCATGTTTTTCAGAGGGGTAGGTATACCACCAACTGACTTTCATGTCCCCAGTGCATTGCCGGCCATTGGGTCGCGCTTGCCGGCATTGTCACAGGGACATTTTGATAATGACCTGGAGCTAGGTGAAAGACAGGCCCCCATGGCCAAAAAAAAACAGCCGTGCCCAAGATATCAATGGGACATCAATCTGATCAAAGGGTTGATGGCTATAGTTATCAGCAAATAACTTATATGATGCATACATATATATATATATATATGTGTGTGTGTATGTATGGGATGATTATGGCACAGTATGCAAATCATGCCAAGCCACCAGGTTTTTTTTTCAAAGTGACTCCGCTGAGGTTCCTTTGGATGGTACCTTGGCAGCTGGATGATGATCCCGGATCACCTGATTGGTAAATGTTTTTCTATCCGAAAATGGACTTCCTCTGCAATCTATACCGCCACATAACTATGGAACATCAATGAACATCACCATTTCTAGTAGGTCAATCATCGAAAATAAGTTATTTTCATGGATCACTTTCAATTGTTATGTTCGTTTACCAGAGAGTATAATCTTCGCGGCTGGTAAAGCGCTACAATTTGCCCATCTGATTTGCTGGAGTGGTCGGTGTTGTCGGTGCTGCGGTGCGGTGCTCTACGGTACAGCGGTCCAACCCTTCCCTGTGGTAGCGTATGTATGATATGTATGGTATGGTATGGTGGGCATGGTATGGTAGGGTATGGTGGGTATGGTGGGTATGGTGGGTATGGTAGGTATGGTATCTATGTCCGGTATGGCATTTATAGTTGGTATGATATGTATTGATATGTATGGTATGTATGTGAGGTCTGGTATGTATGGTATGTATGTGAGGTCTGGTATGTATGGTATGTATGGATATGTATGGAATGTATGGAATGTATGGTAGGTATGGGCTGTATGGAATGTATGGTAGGTATGGTATGTATGGTAGGTATATGTAGGTATGGTAGGTATATGTAGGTATGGTATGTATGGTAGCAATAGATAGTACATAGGTACTTTGAGGGAGTATGTGTGTGTTATGTAGAGTCTAAAAAGTAGCAAGTACCTTGTAAAAGTCGAAGCTGGACCGGAGAAATGCTGCAAATAGCTTGCAAATAGAACGGCCGGGGGTGCTACCTGGGGACCCATACCATTCGGGGGAGGGGTAGGAACACGGAAAACGAGACCATATATTATATTAGTATATAGTATAGGTAGTTCAAGGTGTGTGTGTGTGTTTTATTGGTACAAACACCATACGCAGTATATTTATGTGTGTGTAATATGATGTAATACGTCAGTAATTCCATCATTTGCTGCTTCATGATATGTTTTTCTTCTCACCTGTAGCGTTGTAGCCCGGGTCAGCGGCTGAGGTATTAGGAAGATTGTGATCTTCAAGGACTACAAGGCCCTGGAAGTTGGTTGTCTCGGGATGACGGAAATTCATGGCCTGAAAGATCCAAACTCCACAACCAATCATTGGACTGGTTTGAGGGAAAATCGACACGAAACCATGGCTTTTACCATCAAATATAGAGGATATATAGAGGTATCCTGTAAATTTTCCTTACACCAATCCAATGAACCTTACGGATAAATGTAGCTCCGAAGGTGGGTGAGAAGGTGGAGGCCGTCTTCCCTGATGATGGATATTGGTACCCAGGTGCCACTTGGCGCAACTGCCCTCTGGCAATTTTCCATGGCGCCATTGTTGCTGTAACTTTCCTGAGGTTAAACTTGTTAAACCAGTTATTTTGTTAGAACATCTAACATCTACTGTAGAATCAGCCAATGTTTCTGAGTGGTGTGTGGGATGCGGGAGATGGACACTTGGGTGAAACTATCCGACTAGGATAGTTCACTGGCATCCATCATAGCAGATGTGCGCACAACTAATGTTTGGTTCTTTGGTAATGAAGTTTGGTGCTTGTCTATTTTTGTTGGTGTTTCTCTCCGGTAAACCACTACAGATCTAAGGAGGTGACCAAGATCGGAGACGGCAAGTTCACGGTGAAGTGGGAAGATCCTGATGGCGGCCCTGAGGAATCTGAGGTTGACCCCAAGGCACCGCACCAATCCGGGGGCCAGGAATTTTCAACATAGCGAATCGGCAGTCCAAGTTGGCAATGACAATCAGCTGTTTAAAGACTTAGATGAGATTTACATGATTTACTCTACAATCTCTACATTTATTTTGTAGAGATATAGATTATGAAATGATACAGTTCAAACATGTTCAAAAACCTAAGACTTCTCATTGCTTCCCATTTTAGCCAGTCCCTCCATCGACTCGACTCACCGCATCAGGAGATGAAGTACCCACCCATCCCCTATGATCAGCTGGCTGTGGGGCAGATTCTTGGGTCAAGTCTCAGCATGCAGTGGAACACACACACAGAAATACTGATTAAAATAGTATATTTGTTTAAATGTAGTTATATATAATATATATATAATTATATATATAGTTCATTATATCAACATAATACGTGTTGTCTATTTATGTGCCTTCTTGTTGTAATTATGTACATGGTGTGGTTTTTAGACACCTACATTCACATGTACACATGTATATATATATATATAAGACTATATAATTATATAATATAATATTTATATAGATGCCTATCCTTGATTCATATTAACATGCGCAGACAGCATCACACAAACATGTAGCCATCACGGGAGTCTTACTCTGACGAAGTATTGGGAATCATAGTCATGTAAAACCCATCCCATCCCCTCATCCTTTGGACATTTTTATACTTTTTATTTGCTATGCACTACTGGTACTGTATATCATAGAAGTAGCATCATATGTTTGGATTTTGGACACTACACAAATAAGTAAGAAAAACCAATCAAATATAGAACATGATTAGCATTTTTTATACAAGCTAGATAAAATTTAAATAGGCTAATTTAATATTTGTCTCTTTATAAACAACTTAAAGTTTTATAGATATTTTCTAATTATTGACAGACAAGTCATTTCAGATGTTTATGTTGATTTGTCTGAATATTGTTTTTGTATATGCAGGCCGTACGCTCCACATCTTTGCACCACAGGGTCGAGTCTCCCTGAAATGGCCATGAGAATCCATTGAGATTCACCACCGTACGATCCCGTTTGGAGTATATTAAAATTAAAGCCTCTATCATTGATATATGCCATATTGATGATAAAAGACCTCATAAGATATCCCATGATATTCCCATTAACATTCCCATTTTGGTTGGTTTCTATCCTTCTCATGGTTATTATCATTATTTAACCCCATTGAATATCATAAAATCACATTTACATTCCATCTATATACCATTAAATCCTCGATTTCATTAAGTCCCCTTAATATCCCATTAACATCACATTTACATTGCATTCAACCCCCTATCGGACCCTGTCAGGAAGTATCAGGGCACTGTGAAATCTGTCCTGGACTTCGGTGCCTTCGTGGACATCGGCGCCGAAAGTGATGGCCTGCTACACATCTCCCGCATCTCTCAGGCTGGGGAACAGATCAATGGGGATAAGTGACATCCATGAACATTATTTAACATGATTTAACCAATGAATATCACCATAGATTCTAGATTTTGCGCAAAACATTTGTCAACAGAGCCGGGGTTTAACATGATTTGACCAATGAATCAATTGGGGTCAAGCAAGGGGGATTTAACCAACTGCGCCAAGTATAAACATAAAACATACCACCAAGTGGACTCCCAAAATGAAAGATTCCCAAAATGAAAAACAAGATCAGATACAAGATACGGTGAGGGGAATTATATCAAGCAGCAAGCCAAATTTTGAACTGAATTGGTGACCAGGAACGTATTGAGAACATCTACGACGTCTTGTCCGAGGGACAGCAGGCAGGCAACCCGCTATTTCCGGCCATGTATGCCCACACCAGGATTCTCACTTAGAGTCTTTGGGTAGCTGGTGATTGGTGCCATTTGGGGACATTCGAGATTACATATCCATATTTGGTTGCATTTGGTTGAATTTGATTTGCGATTTAAAGTTCGCATGAAAAATGTTTTTTTACATCGCCATGTGGATCATAAATCCTCATTTACTATGTCAAAATGAAACGCTTAATCAGTAACAACTGCGATCAGATGCTTTACCTTCAGGTTATGGTTCAAATATGTCGAAATTATGCGATTTGCGATGAATCTGGGAACACACAACCAAGAAACAACTAAAGTTGGGGATTGTTGATTATTCCCATCTCCTCCAAAATGAACAGACCCAATTCTTAACCAGGTTTATAAGGGGGTATTGCAGAGTGGAGGATGTTACTACACGTTACTACTATTGATTAAATGAACAATTGTAAAATTCACATGAAAAACACATTTTTTGTTGGTAAAGCAGCTATGTTTCACCATCGCATGGATGGTTTATTAAAGATTTAAAGTTTGTTCATGTGAGTCCCATGCATTGTTGGTACTGTCATGGCCGTTTGGGATAGGAACACCATGAACCCCACGGATGCCAGCTGTAGGTGGACGTTTGGATCGCTGGCAAGCGGGAAGATGAAGGCTGTAGCAGGGAAAGTCGTGCGCTTGCGTGGTTCAAGTAATTATGGTGGCAACGCCTTTTCCTCAATGAAACAACCACTTGAATCCACTCGAGCATTTACAAGCCCCCAACTGAATTTGTCAACCATTTATCTGGGTTTTAAGTCCGCTAGATTTATGAATGTATAAGAATCCCACTTATTCACCAGGAAGCGATCTGATCCTCCCAGTACCAAAGATTTTTGCTCCAGTTTGTTTAGGGATTTTTAGGGATTAGCTGTTGTCCCGCAGGAAAGTATGGCCTCACCATGGTGGAAGGCTTGACCGATGGACCTGCACGCAGAAGCTGGGCGAAGGGCCGAAGGGCCGAAGGGGTTCAGCGCTGTCCGGAAACTGCATCAAAATCACTAGTGAACCGGAGAAACATATGGGAATGAGGAAGAACATTTTTTGGTGTATATATATAGTGTAATATAATGTAATGTAATGTAGTGCAATGTATTGTAATGTAATGCATGTATGTATTCCAAATTCCGTGGATATTGTTAAGTGAAGATGTGTGGAATATTCTCTGCTAATCATTGACCCATATTCCATGGTGACAGTAGTTAATTATATGTGGAAGTTTTACTAAACAACGTCTCACAACTATGTGCCCCAATAAGGCACATAGAAAATACAATTGTACAGGTACTCTAAAACCAGAACTATGAAAGCTATGATGCTTCCTATAAAATTTATGTCTACTCTGATGGATCATAGGTTTCTTGTTTCTGTCCCAAAGGTGCGCTTGACGCATGGCATCCTCAGGAGCACCAGCTGACCTGACTCCCTTTGCCGATTTGCCCTCCGATGTGGCTGGGCGAAGGGATGGGATGTCGATGGCCATGAAAAGTAAACCTAGTAGTGTTCAAAACCCATGTTGGTTGATGATTAGATTAGTTCGGGGATTATACTCCCCATAATCTATATATATATACATGTATATGTATATATATATATATATGTACATATATATATGTATATATGTATGTATATATATATGTATATATATATGTATATATATATTTATTGGGGAGTGAAATAATCCAATGGAGGAATTCCTATAAACCGACCAGTCCAATGAAATGACAGATGGATTTTGAACAATGGGCATTTTAGGATACAATTATATATAAGGTTTATTTAAGGGCTATGTAATGGTGTTCTATAATGCTATTTTGAGTGGTTTACACTGGGACATATATGAGAATACAATGGTAATATGGATAAATAATGGGATATAGATGAGACAACTGGACATACCCTCTAAATGGAGGTTTTAATGGAACAATCATCACTATATTTCATCATTATCCCTATATTTATTTGTGTGTGTGAACTTGGCCATGGCTGGAAGGTGCTTCCAGTTGTGATATGTTGTGATACTGGAAAATTCTAAGGGGCGAAATGCCAGTTTTTTGTGTGAAATCTAATGTGGGTCGGCAATGTAGAGGACCTCGAAGATACAATTTCCGATCCTTTCCGCCCGCAGATTCCATTTCAAGTTCCGTGGCTCTATAATATTATTGTGATGTTTCAACCTGGTTCATCCTGGTTCATCATGTTTCATCACTTGCCCTTGGTAAGTCTCAATTTGTTCATCATTTTCATCATTCACTTCATCATTTCCCTGGAAAATCCCATGTGAGTTCAGGCACATGGCACTTCATGGCACTTCATCCCGCCTTCATCCAGTGGCTCAAGCATCTCAAGCATGTTTTCAAAGTGCCAATAGTTCAAAGATAGTTCCAGGATTTTTGTTCACTCATTGATTTGGTAGTTCCTCATGTTTTCAGCGAATTTGGTGCCATGGTCGTTTCAGGATTTTCCATGATTTTCCATGATTTTCCCAGATCCAGCGATGTCAGGAGTGGTTCACCGGCGTGGTGGCACGCACTGCGCCCTTCGGCGCCTTCGTGACGGTGACCCTGGAGGATGGCGCCACAGCGGATGGCTTGGTGCACGTGTCCAAGATCAAGGACCGGCACCTCTAACCATGGGAACATGGTGGGTTAACCATAGGAAAATGCGAGTTGAATTGGGGTTTATCATGGTGTACAGTGCTGGAAATTAACATTCATGGGCACCATCAACTAGAATTAATCACTATAATTATGCAACTATGATTCATCCATGGTCCATGAATCCTAATCATCAATATTACTAATTTGATTTACCATAGATGGTTGGAATTCCAAGCATCAATCCATATGGTTGGTCAAGAAGACATTGCCATCAATTTCTCACCCGGCTAGTCATCAAAATGCTTCGTTTAAAGGGCTCGTTGTTCTATTTTGTTTATTAATCTTCTGCTGGTATTTAACCGGATTCACATGGGACTTTGACTCATACCTGTTTAGCTGGCAAATATGATTTTGGATTGTGGATAGATTGGGCATGAGCCATGACCCAATCATGGCGGTTGCGGAACTGGACATGATTATTTGGTCACTGGATATGTTGCCAATCAACGGAATCCATAAACCTATTTGCATAATATCATCACTTATCCCGATATTGTGTCAGAACCTATGATACATTTTCTGGGTCGACATTGATGAAAGGAGGGTGAACAAGGGTTCATATTTTTCTAATTTGATGAGGGGATAAGATGCACATTTGTACAAGCATGTTGAGCGATGATGAGTATCCAATGGTAGCGGTACACGCTTCTTGGTTTGATCATGTATATGTTTGTGGCTTCAAAGTTACATCAAATCAAAATAGCAATGTTGCCTCGTCAAATCCCTATTATTCTTATGATTTTGTCTTTAAATTACATGCATTTATTTAAATCCCATGGCTGGATTACATTCAAACGTCCCCTTGCTGTGCGGTGGAACATCCACCTTGCTTCGCAGCGAGGACGGTTTCGTGGACAATGTGGATGACGAGCTTTCCGCGGGGCAGGACTGTTGGCATCCAGGGTGAGTCTGACTTGCTGGGTGCAGTACGATACACCATCCCCAATGATTTTCTATAAATGGTTGGGACGGAAAAAACATCAATTTCATTCAATTTCTATGGCTCCATGGCATTGTTTTACCAATGCCTCCCAAATGGCCACCATGTTGGTGAACTGTAAGTCAACTTATTTTCGTTTTGCTGCCCCAAATGAGGATGTATTATATATATATATATATATGTGAGCCATAGAAATCGTTCACTTGTGCATTATATTTGGGTTAAACCTATTTCACGGTACATGTTTCATGATGTTGACATGTCAATCGTTTGGCGGCGATTATGGGATTTGGGGATCATATCAACCATCTGGCCATGCCGTCACAGCTTGTCAGTCAACATAAGACTATGTTACAACCTCCTGCCCTCCCAAAAATGGATTAAACACCTTAAAAATATAGTGCTTGCTACACTTGCTACACTTCATCTCTTTCTCCATCCATAATCATCCATATTTCTAGAACCATACACAGGATCTAAATTTCACCACATTGCTCACCATTGGAGATATCACTAACATATCACCATTTTATTTCATGGTCGGCCAGGAGGTGAAGGTGCGCATTGAATCTGTGGACTTGGACTCCAACAGGATGAGTTTGTCCATGCGCGAAGGCTTTGGAGGCTCCAGATGGCTCCGGATGGGGTGGGTGATGGTGGGTCCCTTTCCAAAGCAGGGATTTCTTTGGGTCATGGTTAACTGCTTGGTGGTTTCAAACATGTTTTATTTTCCATAATATATGGGATAATCTTTCCCATTGACTAATATTTTTCAGAGGGGTTGAAACCACCAACCAGTTAAGAATGGCGGTCTTTAATGGTAATTGTCTAGCGCTTAACAGGGAGTATGAGCAGAGTATGAGGATAATATGATGGATGAACAATGGAAGTTAGAATGCTATAGATGTGGATTTATATACCCTCCGGTTTTATCACACGTGGGCTGGGAAATCCCCGTCAAAAATGGAGGTTTCAATGGACAGTCGCATAGGGAATGATGGGTAATTGTCCATTGAGTCCATGATCAAACATGATCAACATAATCAAAAATATCAAGATGAAAACACCATGATCCACAATTACCCTCTGGTTTTGACTAACAGTTCGCCATGGTATAGATGGTTCATAGAAATAGATGGTTTACCTATTGCAAATGGTGATTTTCCATGGCTATGTTAGAAGTCTCCAAGCTGCTGCTGCACGAGGCGGCGGAGGCTTCAGGGAACCTGTGGACCTCACTCCCTTTGAGAAGCTCGGCATGACGCACTCCGCGGGAGTCCGTCCAATTTACCCTCTGGTAATTTAACATAGCTATTGAACATGGCCAGTTATAGTGAATTTTCCCATTAAAAATGGTGATTTTCCATAGTTATGTAAACGTTTACCAGAGGGTACCATCTGATTTAACAAACTCTGGAAAGTCATCATGTACACCGTATTTAAATATGTTTAATGGATTTTAATGGGAAACATATCGAAGTAAATTGGGCATGACTTCCATCATCTTCCATAGCTATGTTAGTTTACCTCATGGAAGTCTCCTATACAAATCATCCAAATTTGAATAGGATTGTCATGGATTTTCCATTACAAACCATTCATTTTGGGGTGCCCCCATTTATGGAAACCACCATATGGAAACTGGCCCCCAGTGATAGATGAATTATGATGATTTATGATTTGCCTATTAAACATGGGATTTTCCATAGGTACGTTGAATTACCAGCGGGTATTGCGGGACTTTTGTTTAGCAAAATTGAGGCTTTCAAAGTATAATACTGGTAGGATTGAACCGTTAACCCTATGTAAATTATGTAAGAGATTCCGACAAGTCCATATTTGCCCGTGCTTCAATTCCTGCATGAATTGTGAAAAATCCCAGCACGTCCCAGCTGAAACTCCCTAGGTTTGGGTCACGCTAGGGTAAATCTTATGTTTTGCTGTTTTTGACAGCGTTGAATCCCACTCACCAAGTACTTCAAACCAGTAAACGATTACATAAATCAATGCATTCCACTTGCCATCTACTGAGTCCTTTGATTCCTTTGATCCATCTTTTTTGCATATGCCCAATAGATTCAGTGTGCCAGTGGCCACCCCATCTGCAACATCTCGACGGCTACCTTCATCCCCCAACAAGGGTTTATCAACCACCAACCACTAATCAATGCTTATGCATAAATCATATATTAACCTGTAATCATCCATCATCCATCAATGCTTCGTTTTGAGGGGGTACAGTAGGTTACCCCCTGGCTAATCCCTGGTTTACCCCCCCCAAAAAAAAGTTGCTGTGAGAAATCCCTGGTTGCTGAATGCTTTCCGCTTGCGATTTTCCATGGGGAAACCCCAAGCATTGAACCCATAAACGCCCCTCTCAGGAGCATCTCTTCAGACACCTGGGTCAACGGCAAGGTGGCCCGCCTGGCTCCTTTCGGCGCCTTTGTGACGGTCACAGCTGAGGGTAAGAGTGCGGATGGCGCCTGGGCTTTGGCTGAGATTGGGGGGCGGGTTGATGGGGGAAGTGTGATGGCGGAAGCTGTGATATATATATATATACTATTATAATTTCATTGGCATATTAGATTACATATATTTTATGTAATGTTGCTTTTGGAAAAACAACATGTTTTTGACAACAAATTCTTTTTTTTTTTGGGGGGGGGGCAGCTGAAATACACAGAAACACAATACAGAAACAATACAGATATCCTGGTAGGTGAAATAACTCTTTTTGTGCCTGTTTTCGTGCTAGCAAATTTTGGGACATAGTAATTGAAACTAGGCATCGCTTGCAAGCCGCTAGCCGTTGATGCTAAATCCTTAGAATCACAGTGTACATACAACAATGATATTTATATATATATATACGTATATATATATATATATACATATACACCCATAGTATCCATGGTGCTGGTATATATGCTAACATTTGGTGTATATTGATGGTAAATGTTACCATATATAGCATACATGGATCCCATGGGATATATATATACATACATATATTATATCTGTGTGTGTGTGTATCATTTGTACTATACTCAATGCTGAACTCATCTTAGCTATATGGGTATGGGTCAATACCTATAGATACCATTATTTCAGTGGGTTATTCACATCCATTTTAACCCAGCTATGACTTGGGGTTCACGGCACGGTACCAGGGTTTTGACACACTGCCATATCATTAAAAACTGCCATATCATATATGGTACAGTACCTCCATTTTAGGATACTGAAATTCCCATTGACTATATGATGCTATATGCCCACCACCTAAGAAGTATTGGAAGCACCCCATGGCGCTGGCGAGGCTTGGTCCACATCACCCAGATCCGCGACGGCTTCGTGGAATCCGTGGAGGATGAGCTGTCCGTGGGCCAGGAGGCACGGCCGGCACGACGACGGCGGGACGACGTGACCCACCAGTGATGTGAACGTTGCTTTTTAAGGAACCCCTGTGAACTAATAGTTTGAAGATGTTGTAAGCATCATAAACCCCAGTGAAATTGGAGTTATTTGCCCACTGAGTATACTTAGTTGTGGATTTTTTCTCGAACATATTTTGGTTTTGGCAATTGGCGGATTCCTGCTGCCCTAGAAGTCAAGTCTAGACACTTGAGAAGTGTGGGTGCTGAAACTATGTGGGAATGGCTTGCATTCCATCAGCTCAATATGTTGTAATTATTCAGTCTTGAAGTGACAGTTTGACAGATGATGACCCCTACCCATGCAACACCGCGTAATGAACTACTGAAATTCACTTGGAAATATTTGCGAAGCAACCATCTCACTGCATTTCTGACGAAGCTACCGCACGTCATTTTCTAGTCCATTTATAAACCACCTACTCTCCCGCTACACTTTGCTGATGAAAATCCGCAGCGCTTTAGTTGGTTGTTACGCAGCTGCTCTTTGAATTTATCCAACTTGGCAACTGGAAAATCACCCGTTCATAGATTCTTACCCCATATATTGTCGTGTTATTTTTGTTCCATGAAAAGGTCATTCTTAGCCCATATTTTCCTATGAATTTAAATGGTTCAATATGCTATCAGCCTTCAAGGTTGAAGTTCGCATTGAGTCTGTGGATGTTGACAGTGGCAAGATGAGCTTGTCGATGAAGCAGCCGGAGTGAAGCGGCCCGCTTCGCTCATCTTTGCTCCTTGCACCGTTTTTTTTTTGCATTGGAATGATGGTTAGGATTTTACGTCAGCTATTTTCAGGTTGGTGAATCATTGTATGTAATACAGGCAGACTATGCCAGACTATGTTTGAAGCCAACAGAGACCTCGATTGAAACAACAAAAAACAGTGATGTAATGGGGATCTACAGGTGCATGTGGATAAATTATGTTGCGACCTCGCGTTTCGATGTCACTGGAATGACGGGATTTGGATAGGGAAACTCTGTACATGTTTGTACCTATTCCATGGCCGCACTTTTCATGTGAAATATTGCAATTTATTCAGATGTGAGAAAATTATAGGAAAGTGAGGATGTATCCCAACAAGTTTTCCAAAACGTTTGTTCTTTGGGGATGAACGGCGTAACGGGCGGTCCCTTAAGTTTTCCGGGAGCTGGGCCAAGGTTTTCGCACCAGCGGAAGCGACATTTCTATGGAGATGTGACTCAAGTCAGTGGGCGAACATAGCCGAGGACATCGGAGAATCATCGAAGTTAGCCATGGGGCATGGTTGAAACACCCAAAGTGTTGCTAAAAAAACATTGTGAGGCCACTAATGATCACTAATGTGTTTGCAAACCACCAAAAAATCATCCACTATCCATGTCCACCTTTGAACCCGGGCGTGTTTCATGTCACTCCGCAGATCTCGGCAGAACTGCTCCGGGCGGTTGAAAAACAACATGTCCAGCTGAGAGTCTCAATCATGGCCACATTATGGACACTATTATGGGATATTCATGGGATTTAGGTGGATTTAGTGGGACATAAAAGAACAATCAATCTGATATTTGGGTGTAACATCTTAGAATTTAGAATTGTGTATGCCACAGAATGGCAATGTTCATAGATGCTACCATGATTAACCAGTGAATTCAGGGTACTGCATGTACCGTACTTGTATTTTCAGGCAAATGCGTTTGAAACTCGTCTATTTTCTTCTTATTCTGCCACAGCAACTCCAACCATTAGATTTGTAGTGTTCAACCAAGAGTACAACTATAGGAGGCAACAGCAATCGATCTTGAAATTGTGTGAAGCCGTAGGTTCGGCAAGATGGTATGACAGTACGAGGTTTCAAAGCAGGTACGGCCCTTAACTATTGGTGCCGTGGATCGTAATCAGAGACCTTGAAGATTGATCCTTGGAAACGTGGTTCAGTTCTTGGATGTACCTCCCACTTAGGATCCGTGGTTTATATATAAATCCATTATGTATGCATATCAATATACATACATATATTATCATATATTTATTTAATATATGCACAAATACATATATATATATATGTATAAACAAAGGCCCCTACCTTGAGAAATTAATTTAGGTGGACCGTTGGTTATCCGATTTTTTTCAAATAATTTTACATTTTCCAGTTTTTTTTCGAGAACTATATTGGCGGTGGATTAATAAACCACACCTTTCGAGGATTCATTAAGTTAGGTGGTACCTAAAATAGTTTAGTCTGAATGTTTGAGAATGAGAGTGGGGCCACCTCGAATTAATTTGTCATACTTTGTCCATAATCTGCTTACATAGGTGTTCCCGGCAACATGTCACCAATAACCCCAGATCTGCTGGGGTTGCTTGTGGTCAATGGGATGGACACTGGCACCGCGCAACATGTGTAGATATATGTTTACCACGATTAAACAAATGGACACATTTCGTTCCGATTGCAAAAAAAACAATTACATGTTTTTTTTTGGTCAAAACAAAAATGACACATGTTTTTTTTCATCCAGTGACATGTTTTAATCACAGAAACATTGTTTTTTTTGTGCTGAACACATTTGAAGCAAGAAACGACTCATTTTTTGTGTTCATTTCTTTTTCGTGTAGCAAAACTAGCTTTCAACTATTTTGATAGAACATTATAGAATATATATAATATACGTTTCAACGGGTAGATACCTTTTCTACCATTTATATGATTTAATTTTTAAGTCACTTTTTTTCCCTAATTTCCCGTTGTGGCTTCTCGGTGTTGTTCCCCCTTGTCGTTCCCCGTTGTGCTTCCCCATGTTGGGCATTGCTCACCTGTTGTATCTTCCCCGTTGTCCCCTGTTGTGTGTCCTCCTCGTTGCGCTTGGCTTGCCCAGCTAGAGATGCACGGACGCTAGTGATTTATTTTCATAGAGAGAACACAGCAAGGTGGAATCAGGACATGGAAAATGATCATAACAACATGGAAAGGGAAAGGAACAGTTTTCAAAACGTTTGAAAACAACCATCATTCAAAAAAACATCATTCCAAAACATTACAATAGTGATGATGTTGGACTAAGGCGAGACCTGGAAGGCGCACAAAACCTTTATTTTGGTGGTTTTCAATGCTCATTATTTTCTAATTTGTAGTGAGTAGTGAGTAGCCATTTTGGGTTCCATCGATTCGATTTTGTAGTGCATTTGGGTGCACCTTTTTGGATGGACTTGTATTCTGTAGACCTTCTTGAATTATGTTGCATGAAATTAATCTAGGTGGGTGGGAAAAGGAACCATTTATTATGTCCAGGTGGGGGGTTAGTGCTGATGAGCAAATTCATTAAGGCACTTCGAAGCAGTAAGGACCCTTGGATTAATACTTTTATTAATTGAAGTGGGGGACCACTCTGCTGGAGACCCTTTAGGAGGTACTTGTAGTCATTATAAGCATATATATATATATGTATAATAGGAGATATTCCAAATACAACTAGGTGTATGACCCATTTACCAAATGGGCCCAAGTTGGGACACAGATCCTGAAAAACCACCTCTTCACGTCTGCGTTTTCAGCAATTTTGGCTTTGCTTCGTTGAAAAATGGCGCGATCGCCCCGATCCCGAAGCGGCTGGCTGCTGCTGTTGCTTGCCGCACTGACGCTTGGTGAGGCACTTGGCGGTTTTTTTGTTGGGCCCATTGGCCCAACAAAGTTAACTGTGGTGGCAACGCTTTAGCGTTGAAATGTCCCACCTGATATTGACCTACCAGCTACTAGCCATTTGTTGATTCTGCGGATTGGATCTATGCACTCTTCACCAAGATCTAATCAAATCAGTTAAACACAGTTAGGAGGCCCGGAAAGGGACAATGAACTACAAGGTGAATATGATTTTGTATGTTCATTGCGGATATGCAACCACTTTAGAGTTCTTTCTTGTTTTTTGGCCTCTACTGAAGAGGACAAAGGCAAGCAGATGGAGCACATCGACGCCGGTGTGATGGTCCAATGAGTACAATCATTAATATTGCAGCAAGTGAGACTACAATCTCAATTGGTACTGGTACCCTCTGGTAAATTAACATAGACCCTGGCAGTTGTCGGGGTTGGAAGACTAGTTTCCATTAAACATTGGCTATTTTCAGGGTCTATGTTTATTTACCAGAGGGTAATCTTAAAAAAATAGTCAATAGCACAAAAAATGCCGCAATCTCAACGTGGCGGCAATCTCAGTTTGATCCTTATTTTCTGGAATGGATTGGAGCCACCCAATGCCTGGACAGTGACAATGGGCTATGCCCCAAGATGGCTGTTTCAACGTGGAAATGATGACCAACAATGGTATGGACTGGGGTACCCTATTTTCAGACAAATCCATTTTGACTCAAACAATCCTTTGGCAATTTGCAGTCCTTCAACACCTGCTGAATGTGAATTGTTCGATCCTGAAATCCAACCATTTACCCCAGATGCTTTTTGGATTGAAGACGGGGTGTTTGTTTTTGTCGGCTGACCTTCAGGTTTGTTTGATGAGTGGGTTATGGCCAGTTCCAATACACATTTCTTTTGGTTGAATCGTGTTCCTTTCAATCCTTGTTTGGTCAACTTCCCATTTTGGTGATGAATTCGCCAGAATGCAGCCATTTTGGAGCATTTGTTTCGTGAATCTCGTCATTTGTTGTTACAACTGGGAAGTCCTTCTCCAAAGTTGGTTAGATCACATTAAGATCCTCACTTGAGCGATTGAAGATACCCTGGTTGCTTGGTTAATTAAGGGAATTATACTTTTCCGATTTGGAGATTATGATTAGCCCATAGTAGGGACACCTATCTTTTACCCGAGTCTGATGGCTGGTTGAGGAGCTATGTTTTCTCCTCCCTCAGTTTCGCATGCCTCTCTGCTGCTCCTCGATTGCATACCTCGGCGCGAGGGACGCAAGGACTGCAGGGTGCGCACTGGCAATTGTCTCCTGTTCAATTGGATATCATGGGATATTGATGGTGATATTAATGGATAACTAATGGGAATATAATGGTATGTATCATCAACTGTAGCCCCATGGATTTTTTGATGGGATTTTAGGGAAGCATTTAATCATATTTAATATAGGTAGATGTTTTGTTGGAGAGAGGTTGGAGAAAGCAGAAGTTGCCAATAGAAACAGATGATCAGAAAGAGAAGCTAAGCACCAAATTGGTAGGTCTACCAACTGATGCCCAGTGAGCCAACCCCATTAGGAGCCAACCCCACATGGGCCGATTATATGAATGTATTGAGTCACCGGGTGTATCCAAAAGATACTATGGTTGATCATCATTTGTTGCATCAAAACTGCCAATGTGGGCTACTCCAAACTTTCAGACAAGCGCATTATCCATCATCTTTGGTGATATCCATGTTATATTCCCAGATATTCTCAATATATCCACATATATCGGCGTATATCCACCTCAAATTGTTGGTCCTATCCCCAACCCTGCTTGCCTTTGCCAAAACAATCCAAGTCGCGCGCAGGATTCCGCAGCAGAGTGATTACCCGAGCAAGGGGGGGAGAAGAAAGCGAGAAGTTGGCGGTGGGAGAAACTGGGAAGAATGTCAGAACTGTCACGGTCCAGACATGATAAATTTAAGCTGCAATTGACCTTCCAAAATGGTCCAGAACTGTCAGAATGTCAGAGATTTACCATAATTTACCTCCCAAAATTCAAGAGGTATGGAGCACTAAAGCAAAGCAGAGTCTTTTGGGAGGTGAGACAGAGACAAGGAAAACACATAGAAATACGTAGAAATCAAGGATTTCATGCGGATAATAGGGATACTACCCATCAAAAGTATTCAAAAGTGGGGTATGAGAGCGATCATGGTATGGGGAGTATTGAAAAGGATTATGGAAAGGTACTTCTTTACTATAGGATGTATAACCAACCACATGGCATATGGGCGTGTTTGCCAATTCCTACCCTTTCGCAGAAGTATGATGGTCAACTAGTGGATTAGGTATGTTACTTTAACATAGCTATGGAGAGCCAATGGAGAGTTAATGAAAGATAATGAAAGTCACCAATTTTATTCAAGTTTATCCAATTTCTAGATTATGTGTTTGTTGATCATGCCCATGTTCAATGGCTATGTCAGATTCATGCGGGGCATCCGTGATGAAGACCAGCCCACCTGAAGGCTTCATGTGGCTACGGCTCTACTTGTTTCACCTGAAATTCCAAAAAGTGGGATGGTTTCACGACGGTTTCTGGTCACCAGAAGCCTCTTTAGGCATGCATCAATGTGCTTAATCATGCTTAGACTGTTTTTTTTCCGTTGGGAGGGGCTGAAATTGTTGAATTAGCCAGCATCCTTTTGAACCATCAAACCATTTTGAAGCCAATTGCCCTTTGGCAGTCTAACATAACTAGCTTTGGAACACTGCCAATTTTTTGAAACTTATGTTTGCGTAGGTAAATCATCTACTTATGTTTGCCATTTTCCAAAGCGCATGTTAGATTCGCAAAGGGTGAATTTCCTCACTCTTCTCGACGTCTCAGGACATAGTGAGCGCCCTGTGCCCAGACGACAGCCAGTGGTATCCGGGCACCATCGAAAAGATCAACGATGACAGTAGCTTGGTCGAAAAGATTAAGTATCTTAAAATATCTTAAAATGGTGGTTTCATTGGATCATAATGGGATTACTGTATATTTGGATTATAATGGGGTTACAACGATCCTCTGGTAATTCACCAAAGTTAACCATGGAAAATGATCCATTTGTATTTGTATATCATTTACTTCTTAAGCTTTGCCATTTCCATGGCAAACTGCGAGATTTACCCAGCTTTGCAACCCCACAGGTTCCAAGCTTTCAGGGTTCCAGCGTTGCGGTTCCGTTCCGCCGTTCTGATTATGATGGGATTATTGATGCTGGCGGTGCTCCATAGTTAGCTATAATTAGGTTAAGTATAGAAAATTGAAAATCCATGAAAATCCCACTAACATAGTGATATGTTCTCTATTTTCCAGGGTTGCTACTATAGCCAGTTAGACGGATCATCAAAATTCATCAAACCAACGCCTCGGCTCCCGGAGCAGTTTGCGAGAACGGACTTGCCCAAGAATGCCTGGTCTTGCCGGTGAGGTCGTTGTTTTCAAAGCCATATTTTCTGCTTAACATGTGTGGTTAGATCATGTTAACTTGTTGCATTTGGCTGGTGAAATCCGATGTCATCCAATTTCCGTGTTCTAGTCCCAGTTTCATCTATATTTTTAGCTCACCCTCTGGTCATCCAAAAATGACGGTGGGAAAGCCTCCGTTTCGCATCCCTGCCTTTTCGCCCAAGGCACCTACTGTGTGAAATGGGATGACCCCGAAGGGGGCCCCGAAACCCATGATGTCACTGGGCCTGGATGGGAACACCCAAAAACGTGGTGGTTTTTTGACGTCTTTTTCGGGACACGGGATCTGCAGGATCCTCAAAACCATGGCTGATTGGTGGTTTGGAATATTTTTTATGTTCCCCAATAGTTGGGATGATGATCCAATCTGACTTTCATATCCTTCAGGGGGGTAGGTATACCACCAACCAGATGGCTTTTGTTGGAAAATGCTGTTTTCGGATGATTTTTTAAGGATGACTTGGAGAGGTCTCGCCATGACACCTCCATTTGGAGTAGGTATTTCGCTAGGTGCTTCTAATAGTGATATCGGTGGCATTCCGGGAAACGCTGCGAAAAAATCTTCGGTGAATCCAGTAGACTCAGTAGAATCAATCATCGGATTTCTCGGATTTCTCTCTCTCTTTTTGGACCCGGGAGGGGACCTTTAAAAGGGGTGTTTCTGTTGATCTTCAATCCTCATAGATAGGGAATGCTGATGACTCCAGTTCTGAACTGGGCTGGTTTCACCCAGTCATTCGTCAAAAAAATGCTGTTCTACTTCAATTCCATGCCTATTCGGAACTGAAAAAGGAACTTCAAGGATTTCTGGGGTTTCCATCCAAGGTTGGGAACAACTACATTCTGATAATCTGAAAACATCGAGGAAAACGGGCCGTTTAAGCTGATGATTTACATTCATAGACCATTGAATCATTGAACATTGCATTTCTTAAAGCAAACTGTTGAATGTATGGTATTTATTTTAGTCCTTGTCCATTTTAAATCAATGATGTTGATGAGTTGTATCCCTTGATTTCCCCACATTTCCCACTACTTTCCACCATGGTAAGCCCAGCCAAGGTTCCGCTCGACGGCCCCCTGCCTCAAATCGCAACGGAAATCATGGCAATGTTGCGAAGAGAATTCTGGATCTTTAACGAAACAAGGGGCAAAAGTTGCAAAATTCTCTGTAATGTAATATCAGTTATATTTGATTGGTGGTTTGGAAATGTTTGGAACAGAGGGGTAGGTATACCACATTATACCACCAACCAGTATAAGATTGATGAAGATATAGGATTTTAAGCGACGGATTTCTGGAGTTTGATTGGGAATTGGAGTCACAAAAATTGTCATCCATGATCTGGTGGCAAAAAAAAATCAGCACTCCCAACCATTATGGCAATGGCTGTCATGGGATGGCAATTGTATATATGATGGCTGTCCTTATTTTATATTATATATAGCTGTTACTTATATATATATATTATCTATATAGTACTTGTAATTACTGGTACTAGTAGTACATTGTATTGTCCATTTACGTAATGCCCATGAATTACTGGTGGTAAACATACCCATCATCTAGAGTCTATAGCAATGTCTTGTCAGTCATGGGGTACAGGATGATGATCCCTCACCGAGGCATTAGGAAGATTGTGATCTTCAAGGACTACAAGGCTCGGTGCCAACAGTAGTGCTGCGGCTGATCTCGTTACACAAGAAGTGGCCATTGATGGAATTTCCAACGCTGCAGTAGCAAGATTATATTATGAAGGGGGCGATCTTGGAAGCACAATTATTGCTTTTGGATGGATCACGAGATATCTATCCCCAATCAGTCAGGTTACTGAATACCTGATACACATCAGTGTCATCGCATATGGACATATTGATGGAATTACATGGGACTCATAAACAACTTGTATCAACTGATAGAGTCATACAGTTGCTCAGAAACCTTCATGTTTGTATGTCAGCAGTGACCTAAGCCCTTGTTGACCGACCATGACAAGAGAGGCAACAAAAATACCTGGCCTATTGAATTGGATATGATTACAATCTTCCACCCTCCACTAAACTGACGTAAAAGATGGAAAAGCCACCATGTATAGCTATTACTCCGAACAGGAACATCATGGATACGGACGTAGCTTTGTTAATGTCCAGGTACGGTACGGGAAAATCCCGTTCTCAGCCATGTCATTAGTGTCTTTCAGTATTCAGCCCATAACAGGAATATGTTTGAGAAGATCATTCCTATTAATTGGCCGATTGATTGCCAACGACTATATATATTGTTAATTATAGGTTATAATGATTGTAATGTGATAAATGCCAGTGTAATAGTAATAAATTTCCAATTGGGGATACGTAGCTAGCTATGCCAGGTTTACCATGGTTTACCACCGACAGCATTTCTGGTAAGTCGGGTTTTTGTTATTCTTGAGTTTACCATACTGGTATGATCTATTTATACAATAGCTATGGTCTCAAATGGTGATAGAGAAACCAAAAATGGTTGAAAACCCAAAATTACATCGCATGAATGTATGTATAATATGTTGTAATATACCATGAATATCTTCATTACCCAAGTATTGTAAAATCATCATGCATCGTGGACGATGGTGGATATCTCTCCATTGGGGATTTTTCAGGTGGGAGAGCAGGTGGAGGCCGTCTTCCCGGATGATGGCTATTGGTACCCCGCGGATGCTGGGACGACGATTCAGTGTCGCTTTCACCCTGATTTTTTTTTGGGGGGGGGACCTATAAATATCTATAATGTATCCATTTAGATCACATTAGATCCACAAATCCAGAAGATAATCTAAGTAATTGAAAATTAGATGATTAGATTAACCATGATTAACCTTTGTGTATTCGATGATGTTTGATGGGTTTTTTATATGCCAGGTCTTGATTTTTTTCTGGGTCAATGGCAAACCAATCCGTGGGTTTTTCCGGAGGAGGTGACGAAGGTCGCTGATGGCACCTTCACGGTGAAGTGGGAAGATCCTGATGGCGGCCCTGAGGAATCTGAGGTCGATCCTAAGGACATCCGAAGGGATTCCTCTGAAGGCACTTGCACTTCAGGGGATTTACCCTCTGGTCATTTCACGTAGCGAACTGGGAAATCATCATTTTTAATAGGTAAATCATGGTAAGTCATCATAATCATCTATATATAAATGCGCAATTTTCCATGGCCATGTTAAATCACCAGAGGGTAATGGATTTTGATGGTGATCAATAGGAATTTCACCAACAATGGGGATACTTTATATGATATACATATATATATATACCTCTAAGAATATTATGGTAAGCATAGCTAAGGAAAATGGCCCATGATCCATGAAGATAGATGAGTTGCGTACTAAAATGGTGATGTTCCATGGCATGTTAGGTTACTGGAGGGTCTGTAATGTTGTATGCATTTCGTATTTTAATTGATTTTCTTAGTTCGGGCTAGATATCTCCATGTTTAGCAGGACATGTTCACGTCAGAACTTGGTGCGAGATCCTCAAACTGGTACTGTGGATGAATGATTTTTAACACATGAATATCAAATATAGAAATACGATATTCAACAGTAATAGTATATATATATAGTATACTGTAGCATCATGATTGAAAAACAACACTGTGGACATATCATAAAATTTTGATACTAATGCGATGGAGAGAGAGAAATACTAATGATTAATATCAATAAGTATGTGTATATTACATGATTTTCTACTTGATTTCTACGTGATTTCTATCATGTCACTGTCGATCCCATTGTCCCAGAGTGCATCACCGGAAGGACATGAAATATCCACCCATTCCCTTTGACAAACTCGAGGTGGGCCAGTACCTTGGTTGCCTTGGTTGCCTTTTGGTTGATGTGATCCATGGCATGGAGGGTTTAATGAAATGGGAACCTAGGAGAAAATCAGCTGTAAATGGCTGTAACTGCTGGTTTCTGGTGTTTGACATGGCTTAGTTCGATGGATTTTACAGATGAACATAATAAGTACATCTGCCGCACATCATGAAATGCGCGTGGATTTCCCATGGTCGACTATCGGAGGGTCTATATTTTCAGATTTCCCCCCATTGTTTCCCGCACCCATCTATCCCCGGGTCCCCAGGATGATAGTTACAGCATCTCATATCCTCTACTTGTATTTGGATATAGACTGAAATACTGTAGGAATAGAGTAGAGTATAGATTGTTTATTCAGTTACTGATGTAATATATTTTGTTTTTTCCAAACATATGAATATATGTACATACATATATATATATATAATTAGATAGATATAGATAGATATCGTACACATACGGGATTATACGGGATTATAAAGGAAAAAATCACATATGTTCACCACATCTAGAGCCACCATTGATCCCATAGATGAGTTTTCCATTCAAAAATATAGTACCCCCATTTATCAGTTTTATCCCCTAGATCCATCTGGTTTGGATTCCCGTAGATCCATCCAGGTTCCCTATGATTCAGCCAGATATATAAAAGGCACCGTAAGATCCTCATATTCCATCTATATATATATAATATATATATATATATACCATTAAAACATAAAACCCATTTAAAGCAGACACGACTATCCCACTAGTATCCCATTAATATCAATATCCCATTAATATCAATATCCCATTCATATCACATTTACATTGCATTCAACCTCCCTATTTTTCACCCCCTCAGGAAGTACCAGGGCACTGTGAAATCGGTCCTGGACTTTGGTGCCTTCGTGGACATCGGCGCGGAGAGTGATGGCTTGCTGCACATCTCCCGCATCTCTCAGGATTTCCCAGGGATTTCCTGCCAATTTCCTGGGATTCCTAGGAAAATGTGGGATCTTCTGGAATTGAATGAGGGATGAGATGAGATTTCATGGGACCTACTGTTGAATGTGGGATTTAAGCTAAAAAGTAAATGAACATAGACCCTGGCAGATAGGGCTTGGTTCATATTATATAGTCTTCACTAGAGAAATGATATTTTTGGGGTCTATGTTGATTTACCAGAGGGTCATGGGAGTTAATGAGATTTAATGGATTTTAATGGGATTATTCATGGTTAGCGAATGGGATGGTGAGAAAAGCCTAGGAAATCCTACCAGATTCGGAATATGATTGAAACACAAAACTTGGAGAAAATTGGAGATCAGGATATATCAGGAAAGGTTTTTGATTTTATTTTCAGGACTTTACCACTTTACCTTTGATAGTCAATATTAATCACAGATATTGGACAATGCACCGTGTCTAACTAGATCATTTCGGATGGGGAAAGATTATGGATTTCCATAGCTACTGTGGATGGAAGAAATCCTGCATCACCTTGGATGGTTGAAAGCCTATAAATCATGGTATTTTTACAACCTATCAGCCGGTGCAGGATTTCTTCCATCCACCGCTATGTTAGTTTACTGGAGGGAAACCAACCAAACTTTGCATCCCAGCAGCGAGATGGAATGGGGTGATGTGGGGTCCACAATGGGTATTTGCAACAATGTTTTGGTGATTATATATAGAAACTGCGGAGTGGTTATTGTATTATCCTCTGGTAATTTAACGTAGCTACTGGAAATGGCCCATTGATAGTTGATTTACCTATGAAACATGGTTATTTTCCGGTTCGCTATGTCAATTTTCCAGGGGGTAAATCAGTCCAACGTTTTGACACAATGCCTTGGTCGACGGTGCAGGAACGTATTGATAACATCTACGACGTTTTGTCTGAGGGACAGCAGGTCATGATGCTTCAAGATGGGGGTGTTGATTCGTTGATGGGTCAAAAAATGTCAAAACCTTACAATGAAATGTAAAATGATTAACTAGCAAGGCCAAGCTAGTTTGGGATTATATACATATATATATTATATTGGTAAATTTTCAAAACGACTGAACCCTGTTCTCCCGAAGCCTGGAATTTTCCTGGTTAGTAAGGGAGAATCATCCTTTACCTGGATATGATCCCTGCAGATTCTCCGGGAAGATCATCCTCCACAAATGGAGAAGATCATCCCCCTGGTTATGTCAACAGTTGGCTATTGAAAATGTCAACTTATGGGATAGTTTACCAGAGGGGAACTTGAGGATCCTTGAGAATGTTTACTGATTGTTGCTTGCTCAGTTTGCTCAATTTGCTCAGTTTGCTGGATGGTAGAGTTTGTCAATATTTGCGGCCCGTTGCGACCCTTCGCCAGGTGGATGTGTGGATTTCCGGCAAGAGAGAGGATGAAGGAGAACCGGCTGGCGTCATCACCATAAAAGCTGCTGGTGAATGTTGCATGATGTTGCATTGAGAGCTGGCGGTGAGTATTGGATGGTATTGGACGGTGTTGGATATTGGCATCATTGAATTCGAAACTTGAGAAATCACAACAAGCCTTACTGTTTTACTATATCGTCTGGTTGGTGGTTTGGAATATTTTCTATTTTTCCATATATTGGGAATAATCATCCCAACTGACTTTCATATTGTTCAGAGGGGTAGGTCAACCACCAACCAGTCTTAATATATCTTACCATTGATTTAGCCCCCTTGTCAGCAACACCGCTCCGTTGCAGGAAAGTATGGTGTGACCATGGTGGAGGGTTTGAGAGAAGGAGGACGTCGACTCTTGGCTGCCTAAGCCCTTACCCTTTGGTAAACTAACATAGCTATTGAAAATGTCCCATTTATAGCTGATTTACCCATTAAAAATGGTGATTTTCCATAGTTATGCTATAGTTTACCAGAGGGTATGTAAGTTGTGCCTGTTTTTGTTGCCGCTGTTTGTCAGCCACATCCCCTTTTGTGTTGTTGAATCCAAGTTCTTTCCCGGCATAAATCAACCAAATATGGTTATTAATATGGTTATCAATGTGGGTAAAACAAGAATAAACATGTTGGTCACGTTTTCCATTGCCAAAGCAGCCAACGTAGACCCTCATAATAGCCCATGTTGGAAATTCATGGTCCAACGCCCTGGCGAACGCTGGTGGCGCCCCCCAACTGGAAGTTGGTTTACAACCCCCTTAAGCTATGGATGTATTTACCATGAGCCCTAGTTAAATTTTAGGTAATTATGTGCGCCAAATTAGCTACTCATTTATCCAGATATTCCCCATGATATCCGCATGATACACCATCATTTTCGATCATTTTGGTGGGTTAAGCCATCATTTTTACCTGCAACACGTCATGTTTCACCGTCGTGGTTGCCCTTCCTGTTGCCAGTCGGCCTTTTTCGTCGCCCAGGACCAGCAGCAGACCTGACGCCCTTTGCGGATCTGCCCTCGGATGATGCTCGGATGATTCGGAGGATTTCCATTTTGGGAAAGCCCATATAATTATGTGTTAATGGAAGGACACATCTAATATCTATACATACATACTGATATTGTAGTATTGTAGTATAGAGTATAGAATCTTAGTACATAATGAGATAACACTATATAATTATATATATACACACATATATATATATACATACAGTATGTACCTGTGTGTGTAATGTATGTGCCCTGATACTACCTGAGGTATTGTCTGAAATTTGCCATATTCTAGTGATGATTTCTGGCTGGGAATGGCTGAGAATGACGAACATATTTATGGGGATGGGTTAAAACACAGAATAATTCAGGTAAACCCAATTAGTCATAGTGGTATGCCCAATGATAAGCCTCGATTGTAGTAGGGATGGTTTATCCTTGGTTTTACCATGTTTGACCGCATTAAACATAAATTCAAAAAACACAAAAAACAATGAAAGCAATGGAATATGGTAAGTATATAGAACTTGTGTTTTGCCAACAGATTCTGGATATTTCGCTGGCATTAGATCGCCATTTAGCAGCTGGCTGGTGTCGTTTTTGGGGGCTGTCAGCTTTTCCATCCTGCCAGAACCTGCCAGGTGTAGTGCTCTTGAGAAGAAACACATCCATATATTGCAACCCTAGTTCCATCTAGTTCCTCAACCTTGACATATTTTGACGAACTTTGCGGAATTTTCATGAAGGTTCACTTTTTGATTTGGTAGTTCCGAAGCGAAAAGTGCCTCATGGGTTTCAGCGAAAAGTGCCATGGTCGTTTCAGGTTTTTCCATGATTTTCCATGATTTTCCCAGATCCCGACGTCAGGAGTGGTTCAGCGGCGTGGTGGCACGCACTGCGCCCTTCGGCGCCTTCGTGACGGTGACCCTGGAGGATGGCGCCACAGCGGATGGCTTGGTGCACGTGTCCAAGATCAAGGACCGGCAACGGGAAATGCTTCGGACAGGAACGTGGCACAAAGCGGCAACTATGAAAGGTGGACGCATGCTGTGAAGAGTGGGGAGAATTAGATTTGTAAGTAAATTCATTAATATGGACTGTGTATATATATATATACATGTTACATGTGTAACATATATGGATGAATGGATGGATCGATGGATGGATCGGATCGATGGATGAATGGATGGTTGGATGGACGGTGAAGCTTGCATCTGGAAACCAACAAATATTGCAGGCGACGGCACTACATTTTCTAGAGATGTGTTTGTCTATTAAAATATCGAAGAACCATTTGTTGAACATTGTCTTTTTGAAGAACTGGATGCCTTCAAATGCCATTGAAACATAAAGTCACCATTTGATACGCTATTAGCTACATGAATTTATCAGAGGACCATTTAAATAATTTTTCCATGAAAACGGGGTTAGTTTACAGTTTCCAGTAATATATTTCCTGACTTAAGGCCATTCACCAAGTAAATAGCCAAGGACCCACGAATCAATTTCCAAAGACCCTTTATCACATGCAAATCCTTATAGTTAATATGATTAATATGTTTGGGTAAATTAGAACGACCTCACTGCGACGTCACTGGGAATAATGGTTAGTAAGGAAAATCATGGAAAATCATCCCCAAATGGCCTTAATTCAGATTAGTGAAATATTATAATTTACTATATATATAATTATAGTTAATATCATTGAAGAATATCATTAATTAAATAGTTAATATGTGAATATCATTAAACAAAAAAAACAGAGGCCCCAGGGTGGTTTGGTCATCGGATGAGCCGCGCGGTCGCCAGATGTCGCCAGGACGGCTTCGTGGACAACGTTGATGATGAGGTCTCCGTGGGCCAAGACGCCTGGCATCCGAACGTCGAGGCGGCGAATGGTGCCATGCTCGCTTGTAATTTGATTATCATTTTGTTATATTACAATTACAATATGTTGATATATATATATATTGATCCGTTAATTTTAAGGATGATCATATGTTTCATCATATTATCATAATATACGATCATATATTTATCATATTGAATCACATGTTATCACATATTATCCGTGTATCATACGATCAATCCAGTCTGGTCTTTATTTCAGTGGCCTAGGGACTTCCGGCTCTCTGACTCTGACCGATGTTTGACCCATATAGGCATGATTTTCGCCCAGCTATTGTGATGCTGTGTTTGATCCATAGCCGGCTGGTCTTTGGCATGTAGGAAAACATTTCCTAACAGAACATGTGTAACATTATGTGTACATGTAACTATATGTAAAAACCATATTGAGCACCGTATTTGACGTTACTAAACCATGTGCTCCTATTTCACCCGACACTAAACATATCAGCATTCACCATGCCATCGAAGCTGAGGACGTCAAGGTGCGCATTGAATCTGTGGACTTGGACTCCAACAGGATGAGTTTGTCCATGCGCGAAGGCTTTGGAGGCTAAGCAGTTGGAAGTTGATGCAGAAACCGTGGGAGATACCCCCCCAAAAAAAATTCTGGTGATTTGTTATGGGATGTTATGGGATGTTGTGAAATATTATGTGCTATTGTTGGATAGAATGGGGTACGGGTATATCATAGAATATGATGGGCTATTAACGGGTATTAAAAAATCGCTTCCCCCGATCATATTAATTACGTTTATGATGTTAAATACACCTCCAGATTGACCCCAAATGAATTTCTGAACCAGGATTTCGAGGGGGATATTCTATCAGAAATCCTGGTAGCTGGGTCGATCGTTGGGCCACTGCGCAGTGTGGTTAGGTATCCCTAGCTATCCCAACAACCCGCGAGAAATGGATTTCAGTGGTGCTGATGTGCTATGAGGGATCACTGCACCATTCTCTCCAATCAAGATCGAAACTCTGAAAACTATCTAACTTGGGACATGACTCGACCGCAGTTTTCTCGTTATCCTCCGATAGTCCCCCAAAACTTGCTAGAAGACCCCCTCAATTAGTCTGTTGATGTTTGCCTATATATTTTATATTAATATAATAAAGAAAAATAAATAAAAATAATATACTGTAAGAAAACATATAATTGCGTATACATATACATACGCACACACACATATATCTAATATACATACATACATGTACAAACATATGAAAATAGATACATATATATATATACATACTGCGAAACAGATATAGATAGATAGATAGATAGATAGATAGACAGATAGATAGATAGATAGATAGATAGGTAGACAGTTAGAGTAGATAGATAGAGTAGATAGATAGAGTAGATGGATAGAATAGATAGAGTAGATAGAGTCGATACACTAGATACACTAGATAGACTAGATACACTAGATACACTAGATACACTAGATACACTAGATAGAGTAGATCGAGTAGATAGAGTAGATAGAGTAGAAGATGGAGTAGATGCAGTAGATGCCGTAGATACAGTAGATACAGTAGATACAGTAGATAGAGTAGAAGATGCAGTAGATGCAGTAGATGCAGTAGATACAATAGATACAGTAGATAGAGTAGATATAGAGTAGATAGAGTAGATAGAGTAGATACAGTAGATATAGTAGATACAGTAGGTACAGTAGATACAGTAGATACAGTAGATACAGTAGATACAGTAGATACAGTAGATGCAGTAGATGCAGTAGATACAATAGATACAATAGATACAGTAGATAGAGTAGATAGAGTAGATAGAGTAGATAGAGTAAATAGAGTAGATACAGTAGATATAGTAGATACAGTAGATACAGTAGATACAGTAGATGCAGTAGATGCAGTAGATGCCTTAGATGCAGTGGATATAGTAGATAGAGTAGATAGAGTAGATAGAGTAGATAGAGTAGATAGAATAGATAGAGTAGATAGAGTAGATAGAGTAGATAGAGTAAATAGAGTCGATAGAGTGGATAGAGTGGATAGAGTGGATAGAGTGGATAGAGTGGATAGAGTGGATAGAGTGGATAGAGTGGATAGAGTGGATAGATGGATAGAGTGGATAGAGTGGATAGAGTGGATAGAGTGGATAGAGTGGATAGAGTGGATAGAGTGGATAGAGTGGAAGAGTGATAGAGTGATAGATGGATAGATGGATAGATGGATAGATGGATAGATGGATAGATGGATAGATGGATAGATAGATAGATAGATAGATAGACAGACAGATAGATAGATAGATAGAGTACAGTAGATATAGTAGATACAGTAGATACAGTAGATACAGTAGATACAGTAGATACAGTAGATAGAGTAGATACAGTAGATAGAGTAGATACAGTAGATAGAGTAGATACAGTATATAGAGTAGATACAGTAGATCCCATGTTCCGCAGGTGGCGGAGGCTTCAGAGAACCTGTGGACCTGACCCCCTTCGAGCAGCTTGGTGGAATGGGGATGGAATCCACACTGGAATGGGGGAAAACCATGAAAGTTGGGACATAAACCATGAAAAAACTCGGGGTTGAATCGTGTGTATGATGGTATTTACCCTTTGGTAAGCATACAAGAAGCTATGGAACATAACCATCTTTAATAGGTAAATCAACTATAAATGTGCCATTTTCATCCATTTTCAATAGCTATGTTAAATTACCAGAAGGTATCCATGTTTATTTAATTGAATGTAGATGTGGATATGAATGGAATATTACTGGACTGTTAATGGGATACTGGTTAATACCTCCTCAAGAATTATCAGTCCACGGATTGGAGTCATCACTTCTAATAGGCAAATCATTGAACTCAATTGCAATGTTTCAAAAACTATGTGGGTTCAGTGGAGGGTGTTTACCTATATTTTTTTGGCATATAAATCCTGGTTGGTTGTTTGGAACATGTTTTATTTTTCCATATGTTGGAAAATTTCATCATCCCAACTGACTTTAACTCCATCATTTTTCAGAGGGGTAGGGCTCAACCATCAACCAGATTATGAACTTAACCATCATTACCCATATATTAACCATCATCATTAACCATATAATAACCATATAATAATCTAAATCTTTTTTGGGGATTGTAAAAACGAAAAATACCCCCTGTAGGCACCCAAAATGTTGACACCCAAAGCAGGCAATCGGCCATATATGATTGCACCACTGGGGGTGGCAGATGCAGAACCAAAACACCGGCACCCAGAATAGTGGCACACTATGATCACCAAGTAGATGGTAGAACCAGGAAGTAATTACTGTCTGCAGTTTGTATCTTAAAAACATGTTAAAACTGTGTTTTTTCTTCAAATTTCTGTATCCAGTACTGTTTCCATCCGGCATTTTGTTTGCGTTGCTCTCATTTTTCCACCATCATTACCCCTTCAGCTACTCTCATGCTACCTCAGGGCAAATCTCACTAGAATCCCAGTTCCTTTCCCGGAAAAAATTGTGACATTTGATGATCCCCAATTGTGGATGGATCAAAACCTTGCATATCTTGCATATTTGTGGGGATGAACATCTACAAATCCAAGACTACGACCAGTTTTGATGTAAGCGGCTGCCTTTGGGGGTGTGACCCGTTGCCAGTTTTTTTTTTTCTCATCCCAAGCCTCAAGCAATTTCCTGGTGAATCCCTTTCCTGGTTCTCCATGGATGTTGGGTGAAAACTGGTGAAACCAGCATTGAAACCATCCCATTATCCCTCCATCCATCCCCAGGAGCGTCTCTCCAGACACCTGGGTCAACGGCAAGGTGGCGCGCCTGGCTCCTTTCGGCGCCTTTGTGACGGTCACAGCTGAGGGCAAGAGTGCGGATGGCGCCTGAGCTCGTGGGATGTTCTGCTAGGGGTATCATATGGGAAATAGCCATGGTATAACTATGTTTTAATGGGTATACCATGGTATAACTATGGCTGAATACTTAATATCTTATTCTGTAGGATACAACTATGGTAATAACTATGGTAATAACTTGCTTAAGTTGGGATATGAAACTTACAAACTATGGTTACACAAGGCCACTCATTAGTGGAACTACACCCCGAAAGTGGGTGGCATCAACATCAATTGTGAAGATCATGGTTTCACTATCCATCAAGTATCATCAAGTCGAGGGAGTGATAAGTTCCTATCAAAAAAAAAGGTATACAAAGCAAACAAATTATACATAATAAGACGAGCCGCGTGGATCCATTGAACCATTGGAATAAGGATGAACATCGACTTGTAATCATTATTTTGATGTGGCTTGGCTGGCCAACCATTCAGACATTTCCTTTTTTTTCCGGACGCTCTCCATTTGATGCGTCGGCAATTTGCTATTCTATATATCCAGGACATTCCAGGAATTTGCATACCAATGCTAATTACTATCGCGCTTTGGTAGTGGGTTGAGACATGTGCTTCCAACTTGTAATCCATTCATGAAACATTGATAATTACCCTCTGGTAAACTAACATAGCTATTGAAAATCACCATTTTTAATGGGAAAACTCACTATTTCTATGGCCATTTTCAATAGCTATTTTGACATAACCAGAGGGTATCCATCCCAGCTTAGAGACATCTATCACTATAGATGCTACGTCTCTGGCGCCTAGCTGCAGGATAGCCGGACGAAGAAGAAACCCTTGGGGAATGACCTCCACAAGTGATCTACGGAAGGAGCCCCAATTCAACAGAACTGTGGAAATACCATCTGGTTATTTAACATAGCCATGGCAAATCATCATTTTTGATAGGTAAATCATCTATAAATGGGCTATTTCCCATGGCTAATCATGGCTATGTTAGCCATAACCATAGGGAATATAGTGATCCTCTGATGCTGCCGAAGTAGGATGGTGAGCCACCTGGATTTAGCTAAATTGTCATGTAGATCCACTGCCACTTTTCACCAAAATGTAAGTCTTTCGAAGGGTAAATAATGGTAAACTGGTAAACTTAACATTGACAATTCCTTCGCGAGATCAGCAAGGCACAGTTTTACAGGGTTTTACAGGGTTTCACCGTTTTAAGTCTATTTGAATCTACTCGGGTTTTCTCAAAAAGATAGAGTACCATAGAGTCCCTGTCATTGGAATCATTATCCATTTACAAAAGCCTTATAACATCTTATGGGGATGGGTCAAAACCCTGGTACCTAGTGAACCCCAAAATAGCTGGTAAATGGATGTTCATTCCACTAATAATGGTATTAATAGGTATTGACCCATACCCTTATAACCATCGAAATCTACGGCAGCTTTTTTAGGCCTGGTCCACATCACCCAGATCCGCGACGGCTTCGTGGAATCCGTGGAAGACGAGCTCTCCGTGGGGCAGGAGGCTGGAGATGGAGTTTTGATGGTGGGAAACATGTGGTTTTTCTACCAGAGAATATTGAAGCAACCAATGAATTTGGAAAAAAAAACGAATTTATATATATATATATATACCCTATGGATCCAAGTACCTTCTTAGGAAGTGTTTGGGACATGATTTGGGGGGTTAAGTACCTTCTCAGGAGGTGTTTGGATCCATAGGGGATATATGTATAGTTGATTGATATAGCCACTTGAAATGGAACTTGAGCACATGAATTCCTACTGACACACTGCTTCAGGTGGATGTAAGTTTAATGGCCTTGTCAAGGCCCCGAATGAGTGGTCACATCCTCTAAAACATGTTCTACGCTTTAAAAAACTTGGCTTCCTGGAACCCACACACACACACACATATATATATTATAAATTATCATAATACAGTATACCGTTATACGGCACATTTTTCCAGGGACCTTTCTGGCTCTCCCTTGCGGTCGGTCGCCAGTTCGTTCGGACCGAGGTCGAGGTGCGCATTGAGTCTGTGGATGTTGACAGTGGCAAGATGAGTTTGTCCATGAAGCAGCCCGAGTGAGGATTCCAAGGGGATCTCGTGGCCGCCATATTGGACCATTGGACCGGGAACCTTAGTATGGTACACCAGCCCGTCGAAGCTTATGAATGGACATCAAGATTTGAGTTACCCTCTGGTAAACGTTTACATAACTATGGAAAATCACCATTTTATTGGGAAAACTCACTATAAATGGCCATTTTCAATAGCTATGTTAAATTACCAGAGGGTAATTGGACCAGAGATCGGTGTGTTGGCGCATTGCTGAATCAGCGGTCAAGCGCTCCATTGCCATTGTTGTTCAAAATGACGGGGATATATAATAACTTGAACATTTTTGGCAGATGGCGGTCCAAAATCATTATCCAGTAGTTGTTCGTATGTATGTATCCATTCGTAAATGTGCTTAAGGAATTGCGTTTGATTCCCTTTGTTAACCTGAAATCTTAAGACTTCCGGATGTTGGTGGGTTGACCTGGACCGAGGTGAGCTGCGACGAATCTGACACTGCCAGGGTTGCTATGAAAAAAAGTTAGGGTCGTGGAAGTTCACTTTTCGCCGTCCGGGCCGAGGTGTCCCAGCACATTTGAAACTGCAAAAGCCATGGCTGGAGAATCATTTGATGAATTGATCTGATATAGCTCTCTAACAAGCTTTCAGGCACCCAGTCCTTCTTCAAAGAGATGGTTGGTCAATTGATCAGAATCGCGTTCAGATGCGTTTCGGTACTGGGAGTCAGTAAGAACTATGTGTATGTGTATCCCTACTATTATAGTCTATTATATGATGGTTTGTTTTTTTCTCAAATGATGGTGTTTTGTCTTCCCCCTTCCATTTGAAGCAACCTCCGGAAACTTCCAAGTTGTGGTTGTGGGACGCCGTTTTGAGAGTGAAGTTCCATGCCAGTAAGTCTTAAGCGTCACTCCCGCATGCCTGTCTGAGCACCAATGTGGTAATGTGATGTAATGTGTCCCCTTCTATTTGCCCTGGGATGCACAACGGTCAACTGTCCCCAACTATCAAGAGGATTAGTCTGTTAGTATCCCAAGTATAGGGGGTGCACCCTACAACCAACCGCAAAGATCCGCAAAGGGGGCGATTGTTTATTCTTGATGCCCCTCTTTGACCGCCTTTCAGCTACGCAACGTGCCTAATTAATCCTAATTATCATGAAACTGCCCTTTTTTCACCAGGTTGACACGACATTGGCACATTGCTTCCGCAACCGAAAGGAAGGTGCCGATTTTGCATTCCATGGGGAAAGCAACAGCTGAACAAAAAGAAGTACTTGGTGTTTGTTTCAAGAAAAGAAGCCTTGGACAGGCAAGCAAGCAAACACAAATCGTTCCATTGGCATGAGCAAACTGCCATTTGAGAGCCAGGTGCGGACAAAAGAAAGACAACTGCTTTCAGGGGTTTGGCGTCATGATGAATACACCACAGTAAGCCACCATTTCTGATGGTTAAACCGGTTTAACCGGTTAAACCGGTGAAACCGGTTAAACCATATGCATATGTCTTGAATCCAAGGCTGCCAAGGTTGTCAGCTTGAGCTAGCTTCCGATGTTGGTATATATCCTGCCCGATTGTGTGTTTATTTCACACTTATATGTACATATATGTGTACTTGGGTACTATAATATAATATGGATGTAAAGAAAAGTGCATGTTACACTATGACGCTTCAGAGCTGGTCTGAAGGCGATGGAGAAAGAGAGAGGTTCTGTGAAAATAAATGGCTGGGGATCCATACTGATGTCACACGTCATGATGAATTGAACAGACGTGTTTAGACACTTGAGTTATTAGATATTGAACATGATTTGACATCGAGACATTGTGGATTCAAATCCAGTTAGTTGTTGTTTTTTTGGTGGTTTGAAACACAATGAAACACGTTTTTGCTTTTCATGCTGCTGCTATTTGAACATTTAGGATGGTGATTCTAGTTAACCTTATTTCTTGGGATGGGAAGCGAAGGTTGGCTTTAGATTTTGTGTGGTGGAACAAGTATCTTTATGTCAAGTATACCTCGGTTTTGCTGATACATAGAATTATGTGAAGAATAATATGTATATACAAATATAGGTGTAAAAGGATATGAACACTACGTGTGTGTGTGTGTGTGTACACATGTATGTTTTTGCGTTGTCTCATTGGATCTCAGTTTAGACTCTCACATTGTTATTATTTTTTTGGTTGAAGGAGGTGCCGGGTTGCCCGCCAGGACACCAAAAAAATGGGATGATTCCACCCTTATATATAATTAAAGGACCGGATAACCCCACAAGTCAACTTCTTCCAATAATGAGTTTCAAAGGTTGTAGCGGGGTCGGAGAAGGAAGGAAAGACAAAGGAGGTGGTGAAAGACTGTGTGTGAAAGTATGTGAAAAGATAGTATGCATGTACGTACGTACGTATGTATGTCTGTATGTACATACGTACGTATGTATGTATGTATGTATGAATGTATGTATGTGTATGTGTGTGACAAAGTTGCGCGTGAAAGATGGTGTGTGTGAAAGTGATGTGTGCTTTTTGCTGGCTATCTTCCGTGGAAGAAAACGGGACATCTCTATTGCTGTCTGTATTTCTCTGCTCCATGGGCTTGGCTCGCAAGCAGAGGGCCAGCCCTGGTGCGCAAAGAAAGCCTACTGCATCTGAAGTGACTCCATGTTTGCAGATTTGTTTTGCTTGTTTCGGAAGTTTTGAGATTTTGGAGTTTGTTCAGTGTTGGGTTTTGTTTATGTCTGGTTGCTTCTACGTTTTTGCAATTAAAGCTTCCACTAGATAGTGACTTGACCATTGGTTTTGCAAGTTGGTGGTGTTTCTTCCACTAGATAGTGACTTGTCACTGAAGGCCAGAAAAGCAACAAGATATGCTTACCACGGAAATTCTTTGTGGGATCCAAGGGTGTGTGCTGAACACTAGGTCTCACGACGTGTCTCACTCGCCTTCTTTGAGCTCCACCAGGCTCTGATGGTTTTTCCCGACGTCGCTTCCCGAAAGATCTTTTATGGCAGAGCCCTCTATCAAAGCGATGGTGTGCTCTCCATACTTCCGCTGACCAAAGTAATGTTCTGCACTCTTTCGGGCGAAGCCGCAATTTTTGCGAACTCTTTCTGCATGCCCTGTGGCTGGTAATCATACCTGGTATATAGTCATGATCAGCTGCTGGCGTCATGGACGTGAGATTGTGCCACACCGCGTGCCACGTGAAATCAAGGTGTATGTCACCAAGTGCCATCAGTGAGGCGCCTGCCACGCAAAACGACCTTGCATGTAATCAAGGTGGACGTCACCAAGTGCCACGCCTGCCACGCAAAGTGGCGCGGCGCCCCGAGATATGTATGTATGTATGTATGTATGTATGTATGTACGTACGTATGTATGTATGTATGTATGTATGTATGTGTGTATGTATGTATTTATGTATGTATGTATGTATGTGTGTGTGTATGTATGTATGTATGTATGTATGTATGTGTGTGTGTATGTATGGTACAAGACCCCAACAAAATGGTCATGTAGGAGGTACATAGAGCAAGGTACAAGACATGAAAGGAGGTCAATGTAGACACTGGCATGCGGCATACGCGCCGACTTTTTCTCGTTGCGAGCAGGCCAATGTTAATCCCGTTCGAGCATAGACACCTGGTCACATTCTTGCAATGTCAATTCTTGCAATGTTCACCGCCAAACCATTGCGCCAAACCAATGTCAAAGCATGTCAGCTCCAGCTGTCACGGAACAAATCTAGGAGAGTTTGTGGACGATTCCAACTGGTGAAGTATGAAGACAGCCGCAGCCTGCCCTAAGGTCACAGGCCCGATTACGATGCAAGGGCGAAAAAGTACCTGGCCGCAAAAGGACAGAACGCGTATATGCAGCTAGCTATCAAAGCACCATGCGTAGAAACGATACAATTCAGTCTGCAGCACATGTCACGAACGGTTTTGATTTGGCCGTCGCAACCCCACTCTTCCCACATGGGGTTAACAATGGGTCTAGGAGAAAACGAAGAGAGTACTACGATGACTTCAACCGGTGACCTACGAAGAAAACCGCGCCTGCCCTAAGGTCATAGGCCCGATGACGATACCAGAACGGAAAAGTACCTGGCCGCAAAAGGACAGCGATGTATATGGAGTAGGTTGTCAAAGCAACAAATACAGAAAGGACAACATTCAGTTTGCCGCACGAATGCACAACCACTTTTGCCACAGCATCAAACGGTTCTTCGCACATTGCGTCAAACCATTTCTTCTCCCGTGGGCTGCTGTCACGACGTCTTCTTGCGACGCTGTTCAGACGGAGATTCCGCTGCAGCAGTGGACATAGGCAATGACCCAGCTCTTGGGGCCACCGCTGATGCCTTTGACATGGGTGCGCCATCACATCGTTGGGGCCACCCAGTACCATAAGTGGCACGCCTGCCACGCAAAACGACGGTAGATGTGAGATTGTGCCACGCCTGCCACGTGAAATCCCGGCCCAAGGGCGCCACCCAGTACCATAAGTGCCACGCCTGCCACGCAAAACGACGGTAGATGTGAGATTGTGCCACGCCTGCCACGTGAAACGAAGGTGGATGTCAGGTTGCGCCACGCCTGCCACGCAAAGTGGCGCGGCGCCCCGGCGACAAATCCCGGCCCAAGGGCGCCACCCAGTACCATAAGTGGCACGCCTGCCACGCAAAAACGACGGTAGATGTGAGATTGTGCCACGCCTGCCACGTGAAACGAAGGTGGATGTCAGGTTGTGCCACGCCTGCCACGCAAAGTGGCGCGGCGCCCAGGCGACAAATCCCGGCCCAAGGGCGCCACCCAGTACCATAAGTGCCACGCCTGCCACGCAAAACGACGGTAGATGTAAGTTTGTGCCACGCCTGCCACGTGAAATCCCGGCCCAAGGGCGCCACCCAGTATACCATAAGTGCCACGCCTGCCACGCAAAACGACGGTAGATGTGAGATTGTGTCACGCCTGCCACGTGAAACGAAGGTGGATGTCAGGTTGCGCCACGCCTGCCACGCAAAGTGGCGCGGCGCCCCGGCGACAAATCCCGGCCCAAGGGCGCCACCCAGTACCATAAGTGCCACGCCTGCCACGCAAAACGACGGTAGATGTGAGATTGTGCCACGCCTGCCACGTGAAACGAAGGTGGATGTCAGGTTGTGCCACGCCTGCCACGCAAAGTGGCGCGGCGCCCCGGCGACAAATCCCGGCCCAAGGGCGCCACCCAGTACCATAAGTGGCACGCCTGCCACGCAAAACGACGGTAGATGTGAGTTTGTGCCACGCCTGCCACGTGATATCAAGGTGGATGTCAGGTTGCGCCACGCCTGCCACGCAAAGTGGCGCGGCGCCCCGGCGACAAATCCCGGCCCAAGGGCGCCACCCAGTACCATAAGTGCCACGCCTGCCACGCAAAACGACGGTAGATGTGAGTTTGTGCCACGCCTGGCACGCAAAACGACGGTAGATGTAAGTTTGTGCCACGCCTGCCACGCAAAACGACACTACGTGTAAGTTTGTGCCACGCCTGCCACGCAAAGTGCCGCGGCGTTACAGGCGCCCAAGCCGGTCCAAGCGCGCCACGCAGTGCCATCTGTCCCACGCCTGCCACGCAAAACGACGGTGGATGTGACTTTGTGCCACGCCTGCCACGTGAAACCAAGGTGGATGTCAGGTTGTGGCACGCCTGCCACGCAAAGTGCCGCGGCGTCACAGGCGCCCAAGCCGGTCCAAGCGCGCCACCCAGTGCCATCTGTCCCACGCCTACCACGCAAAACGACGGTGAATGTGACTTTGTGCCACGCCTGCCACGTGAAAGTGTGAAGTTATTGTATGTTACGTTTGGGTATGTGTGTGAAGTTACTGTATGTTACGTTTGGGTATGTGAAGTTATTTGTATGTGAAGTTATTGTATGTTAAGTTTGTGTGTGTGTGTGAAGTTATTGTATGTTACGTTTGGGTATGTGAAGTTATTGTATGTGAAGTTATTGTATGTGAAGTTTGTGTGTGTGAAGTTTGTGTGTGTTAAGTTATTGTAGGTTAATTTGTATGTTAAGTTTGTGTGTGTGAAGTTATTGTATGTTACGTTTGGGTATGTGAAGTTATTGTATGTTACGTTTGGGTATGTGAAGTTATTGTATGTTACGTTTGGGTATGTGAAGTTATTGTATGTTACGTTTGGGTATGTGAAGTTATTGTATGTTACGTTTGGGTATGTGGAGGCGGCGGGAGGAGGAGGAGGAGAAGGAGAAGGAGCCCGGGATACAGAATCAAAAACAAGAACCCCACACAAAGATGTGGGGAATAACATATAATCATTCATCATGAATATGATCATTATAGTAACATATAATAACCAAGACACAATCTCCATATTATATACTTAATAATATTATTATAAACTATGATTATATTATAATTAACCAATAGGCTAGAGATCCCCTCGCTGTGAATCTCTCAGACTCACCCTTTGCACTGCAGGCGAGGGCCCTATATATATCTATGAGGCCATCCTGGTTGATTTGGTGGAACGGACAACTGATGGAAAAGCAGATGAATATCATGGAAACTACATAGGCCAGAAAAAAACGGTATTTCCCCTGAGGGGGTTCTATAGCATATGATTTTGTTTTATTGTTCAACTTGGGGGTTATTTGGACATGATATTGCATGATTGGGGCTAGGGTTGGAAAGCACGGATGAAATCGAACCTGTTGCTCACTTTGGCATGTCTACAGGTTGGAGCAATTTGTTGGCCCACATTGGCCCGCACCTCTTACACACTACCTACTATATTGTAGCAAGTGCTTCTTGACGATCGACTGGAAACTTCTCGCAACAAAAAACTAATAAAAAAAAACTATTCAGATCCACTTCAAGCTGTACATTTGCTTTGTACTTGTCTAGCACTTATTAGAGATAGCTACCAAAGGGACTCTTGTAATGAATACGATTTTTTGTGCTTGAAGTACGTCATGTTTTGACTCAACCAAAACTACACAGGTGACGCAGATGATGTCAGATTCAGTATATTCAGTATATACAACAACTCATTCACCTAGCAACACGGATGCAGAGAATGGGCCGTGAAAGGAGGTCGAGACCCGGGAGACCCGGGAGACCCGGGAGACCGTAGTCCAGGGACCCATTTTGACTTCCATAAATTTCTCCAACTTTTACCAAAAATGGTCTGAAAATGGAGTATATATACCTCTAAATGGTTATTTGATCTATTTGAATAGGGAAAATGAATATAATCCATGAAAATCCAATGGATTTTAGGGTACATGCTCCATATGTTTCGGTTTCTGGCAGTGGCAGTCGCGCCGGTTTGTTGCACCTCGCCGCCATGGTCATTTCCTGGTGCCATGAGCGTCGGAGAGGTGGTGGAGGGTCGAGTGCTCCGGGTGGGCGAGGAGAGCCCGGGGGGAACTTTTGGGCCTAGATTGGCGGGATTGTGATGATGGGAATATTATGGGATATGAATGATTCATAGAATTGGATGATGGGAAAATTTACAGGAAAGCCCTATATTTGATGGTAAAAACCATGGTTTCCTGTAAATTTTCCCTTAAACCAATCCAGTGAATTATGGGATATGAATGATATGAATGGTTTATAGAGAGTGATCTGAAACTAGGATCTAAACGGACACTTAAAATGGGAAAATATCTCTGGATAAATCACGTTGTGAGATGTTGTGAGCTGATTTCTTTTGGCTTTGTGGCTCCAGACTGGAGATTCTGGTTGGAGGAGAATGACCATACACCATGAATGCCAGCTTGACCATGGCACATATGTCAAGGGATGTAAATCATTATGTGTAGTAAACCCAAAAAGATAGAGAACAGGTGCAATGTATCATTATTTTAGCTTCAGATTTTACTACTTTTATCTTTTTAATGATAAACATACATAAAAAATACACCTTTAGGGTGTGTGTTCCGATGAAAAGGACGCATCATGACGCATCCACAAAACCGTCCGGCCAGGTGCCATACAGGCCCAGGCCTCCAAGGCTAGTCCCTAAAAATGATGCATCAAAATGCGGAGATCACTCAGACCTAACACACCCATGGAAGCCATGACCCATTTACTGATGATTTCTGATGATTTACCTCTTCAAAAATGGTGAATTTCCTTTAGTACACTATGCTAAATTCCCAGGTAAATATGCTAAATCACTGGGTTTTCTTCACCAAAAAAGCCATCAGAAGTCCATGAAATCCATGGTTTTTTGTGCCAGGATCACGTATTGATCCAGCTCACCTCCACTGACACCGCGGGGGTTCCCGCGCGGCTGCCTTTGGACGAGGACCTGGAGCTGCGGCCAGGTGACGAGCTGGTGGACCTGGTAGTGGCGCAGCGGACGTCGCAAGGTGCCGATTCCAAGGCGTAAGGCGCCTTACCCAACGTGGTAAACATACAAAAAGTCATTGAAAATGGCCATAGAAATAGTGAGTTTATGATTTACATACCCATTAATTAAAAAAAAAAAAGGTGATGTTCCAGTTTGCAAACTGTTAGTTTACCAGAGGGTAAGCTAAACCCAATGATGGACAATAATAATGGTTTATAATGTTGATAAAACCAGTTAAAACCCATTGTAAAATGGATGGCTAACAAGATGATTGTAAAAATGGTTTGAACACATGATTGTAAAAATGACTGAAACAATTGTTTTTGATGTATTATTTGTTGGATGCAAGTTGGCTTTTTTTTGCCTTATTACTGTGGTAAACCCTGGCTGCCATAAACTCTCCCTAATGTCTAGAGGTTGACTGGGATGATGTGGACATCGAAATGATTGGTTAATTGGATGGTTTATTGATTGGGTTTACCACATTATTTCAGGTTCATGTTGAGTTAAACGTTGATTGATTCAGCTAAATTAAAGGCGCCAATGTCAAAAGCAACTGCCACTTGGGGACGGTGCAGCAATGAACCGATTTGTGGTGATTTTGGGGATGGTTTATTAGTGGGTTTCCCACAATACAAAGAGCTATCCCAGAATGCAACAGATTTGCTGAGTGACATTTCTGAAAAACACAACAAGCTAAATCAATCTAAATCAAAGATGGAAGGACATATAAATGGGGGTTATTCCCCACCGAGGTTCTCTAGATTTCATTCGAGTTTCCTTCCCTCCTTCTCCTCGGGCATTGCCAGACCTCAACTGTGAGTACCAGATCTCAGTGGGCACTGCGGGACCTCAATGACGAGTGCAAGATGTCACATAGAATCATAGAATGCCGGAAAGAATGCTTGATAGAATGTTAGATTGAATGCCAGATGGAATGTCAGAATATTATATATATATAGGTCAATTGACAGAAAAATATGTCAGGATAGGGATCACTCGAAGTGAAGTAAGTTTTGTGCATGACCGGTATGTTTTTTGACTTGTGGTTGATCCCGTATATCCTTTGACATGCTCAAAGCCCTCCGTTAAAGGTACTGTAACTTTCCAAAACACCAACCCTAAAACCTTGAACCTAACACCGCAAACCCTAAAACATTCGAAAACCCTTAAATGCTGAAAGCCTATACTGGTTGGTGGTTTGGAAAAAGGAAAATTATTTGTATTGGGAATTTCATCATCCCAACTGACTTTCATACAGAGGAGTATAGAGGAGTTGAAACCAGCAACCAGCTATAAGTCAAATCGTTTTTTTTGGGGGTATGGCCAGTTATTTCCTTCATCCTCCGGTGGGTGTATTATTTGGAGGTGGGCAAAGGTAGGCTTTGGCGCCAACATGTTTTACCACTATTTAACACAGACACATGACAACACATTCATGAGAACGCATAATACATCATGAAACATCATGATACGTCATCATACATCGTGATACATCATGATGCATCAAACAGATCAAAAACCTGTTAAACATCGTGGACATCCCATCTCTTGACTAATGTTTCTTTACTTTCGATGCAGTATCCGGATCTTCCGGATGGCTCATCGTGTGGGGCAAGTCTATGAAGTTGCTGCTGTTCTTGATGATGATTATCATGATCATGTGAGTGCTTGCACATAAATCATTTCTACTTTGGGAATGTGCCATTGACATGTCAACCCAGTGTGGTGTTATTTGAATCATTGCGGTGGTTGCGATCGTTTGGCGCCAGGCGAAATCATCCTGCGTCTTCAAGACAACGAAAGTGACAGTGATGGTGAGAATCTGGACATTCCAACGGTAGATGTCCGTGGGAAAGGCAGGAGAGTCTTTCCGTGACTCAGTAATCACTGACAATCACGGTGCATCCCAAAATGTACATTTGGATGAGCATAGGCAGCATAGGTAAACCAAAAACTCGCCCCAAGGTTTTCTGTTGCTACGTTTGAACAAAAACGGAGTGGTAAAACGGGCCATGCTTTAGGATTTTTCATCCCCGTCCATTGCTGACCAGGTAAGGGCCGTGGTGGCTACGGTTCTCTTGAGGGAGCCATGGTGGCTTGTTGATGGGTGGTGATATGCAAATCCGATGCCAAGCACACACACATACATATATAATCAACAGACACAAAAACGATTAAACAGCACATATATACACAATATACCAACATGTATATATATATATATATTCTATTTATGTAAATACCTGTGCGGAGAGAGATATCATGAGTGCGCATATTATTATAGACTTCGATGGTTTCCATAAGTCTCACTACCAAGACTGGCCACTCAGGGCACCTGAGTGACTGACTACCACATTTGCGAAGTTGCCATTCATGGGACCCATCCATTCATGGTCGAAAAAACTGAGATTCCATGGTCGATTCCGCAGTGAATCATCGTAAATGTTCATCTGACATGGATCAATGGTCGATGTTTTCAGGGTTTTTCCAATGTTTTCTCAATTCCACTTGGACACCGAAGGGGCCCAGCTACAGCAAGCAGCAGCTGCTCTCCTTCCGCGGCGCGGTCGGCGCGGTGCGAGCCGATCCAAGCACGGCAGGACTGCCAAAGCTGCAGCCAGTTCCCGATGAGGTGCCCCCGGCTGGAAGGCTGGGAACCTTGGGGTTGGCCATGGCAAAAATGATGAAAAATAGTGAAAAGATACTGGTGAAGATGGTAGTTTATCACAGTATCATTTTATCCATGTTACCATATTTATCCATGTTACATCATTTATCCAGTATCATAAATGGTGAAAAACATATTTAGATGTTGGCCATCACATTTTATCACCCTGTTTATCCATGTCTATCCATGTTTTTCCAATTTATCCATCTAAAGATGGGAGATGGATGGCAGATGGGATATAGAAGCAGCAAAATATGATATTTGGACGTGTCTGAAAACTTGAGGATGTAACTGATATAATGAACAAGAACTCGTTGGGGATTTATAGCCAACAAAGATGTGGGATATGATGGGGATATGATCAGATCTGCTTGAACAATATGAGCCAAACCAATATAATGTGTGGGTCTGTCTAAAAATGGATGATACCCATGTTAATGGCAATGATTAAGCATCAAATTTTGGTGACCACTTTTTTGAGACAAACTCATATCTTCAGGCAATGGAGAGAGGATCAATAAGGGACTTAAGCAGCCATTTCATGTTGATAAATTCAATAGATATTATATAATGGGCATGATATTGGATGGTAAACCAATAGAATCAAGTATCGGGATACTGTATTACGACTAGTGGGATGATAAACAAGTACAAGCCAAGAACAGAAACAAGAACAACACCTTCCAATCAGACACGCCGGCAGGCCGGCGGATTTCAAGCCATAGTAAATAAATAAGTATTATATATATATATATATAATATTTATATTTTTAAATATATATATATATATATGCTATTCCAATAATGTGGGTAAAACATGCCATAAATCATCCCCCAAATCACCATTTTTGTAGGTGGTGTAAACCATTCCCAGGGTCATGGTAGTTGTTTATTGCATTGTTTATCCCACATCAGTTGGGAGACTCCAAAATCAATCCATAATAGTTTATGTTGGAATATTTCAAGCCATGGTAACCCACTGTATATATTATTCCAATAGTTGGCCATAGGGGGATTAGTATTTATATCCAACCATGATGGCATCATTCCGACTATAGATGGATTTATAATTCCAATAGCTGATAAATCATGTTAATAGATATGCTTGGATTTCAACCCATAGTATATAGTTGGATATAGCCACAGTATATAATAGTATCTAGATATAATTTGGAATAGTGTGTTCTGAATATTTTGGTATTCCATAGTGTATATATATATATTTATACATGATTCCAAGAGTTGATAAATCATGTTAATAGACATGGATATGATGGAATATTTCAACGTATTTCAACCCATATTCCAAGTTCGTTGGGAGACTCCAGGAATTGGAGTCTCTGCTGCATCGTTCCATCCTTTCTTCGGAGCTACCCCTGCCTTGGTGGACCAAAACAAGTGCTGCGCTGAAGCGCTCCAGCCTACAACTGGCGCTGCGCACGGTGCGGGAGGGCATGGGACATAGGGGATTGAACCCACACAAAAATGCATTTTTTAACCCTTTAGCCAAGAAACATCTAACATCTGGATTGAACCCGTATAAAATACAGCCCGAGAGTTGGTGAAGAATCCGATAGCTTGAGGCCTAGGGTCCCTCAAATTTTTAGAGCATTCCGAGTTATGTATTGCATGCATCTTCGCAATTTGGAGCGAGCTTAAACGAGCTTAAACGAGGTAACGAGGTGGAGTTGGCAGATTTGACAAGAGGCATGCGAAAAAATAATTTTTTAGAACCTGAAAAATTGTTTTTTTGCAAAGCCGGGCTTGCCTGAATTTCATAAGAGCAGTGCGGAAAAAAACAATATTTTAGAGCCTGAAAAGTTGTTTTCTTGCAAAGCCGGGCTTGTTTGAGTGTCATCAGAGCAGTGTAGAAAAAACATTTTTTTAGAGCCTGAAAAAATGATTTTTTGCAGCTGTAACCCAGGATGCACCCAGCCCTTTGCAGCCAGGGAAAACTGTAGTATAAGGGTAAGGCAAAATGCTTTAAAGGCAAAGTTCCTGTAGCATAATGGTCAGACTGTCAGACCTTAGAAGGTCGGAAGGTCGAATCCCGCTGGCGCAGGCTTTGGCCATCTAAAAGGGTCTGTCAATATATCCACATTTAGATTTCGGGTGGATTGGAAGCAGTCCAAGCATGTGCGAAAAACAAACAATAATTTTTTGGAGCTTGAAAACTTATTTTTCTGCAAAACCCGATTTCATCCCATAAGACCATAAGACCATAAGGGGTCACACCACAAAAAACAATTAACCGCAAAGGGGAATTGCAAACCTCACGTTTAAGCAGTGAATTGAGCAATCCTATTCCAGGGCTTCTATTTTTTTAAAAGTACTATGTGCTTCGTATAGCTGAAAAATGCTGAAAATATGTAGCCCGCCTTGGGTTCGAGCCCCTCAAATTCTTATACAGTAATTTTTTGTACAATACTCAAACTGTAGAAATTTCAGCAACAGCAGTGGATAGAAATAGGATTTGAACCATCAAGAATTGGGATTTAAGCAAGAAATTTGGTGGTATCATGGGGATGTTCATGGTCAATCCATGGGAATTTATATCCAACCATGGTATTGGTATTGGGGCAACTATCCCAAAATGGCCAAATTTGTTAGTCTTTATACAGGTATCATGTGTTTAATGCCTAGGGAGGTAGACCAATTGGATCGTGTTGAAACCTGGACGTTGTGAGGGAAACAAATGTCATCTATGACATTTGGGATTTTTGTTCAGTCCTTGTCAGAACTTGGTGTGATTACCCAATCGTTTGCTGGGTAATCAAATCTGTGTGCTACTAGCCTCATGCAAATCTACTCTTTGGTTCCTTGTAGTAAAACACGAGCAGCTGCGATTCATTGACAACATTGTGACCTCAGAAACTACACGAAGCAGTTCGCAATGACCATCAAACGCTGCAGGTGAACATGCAGGCGGTCTATGCAATGCAACCTGAGAGTTCTCAATTCCGAGAAGCCTTGGGAGCTTTGGAACCCAAGCTGCAAAATAGAATTGAGAACAATATTTTCTAAAACGTGAAACTGAGCATCTGCAGTTGGAATCAGCCGCTGTTTGATGAAACCCATTTCATTCTTGAATTCGGTTTTGGAACTCATTTTCTTGCAAACTGCAGGCTCCTTTGAACCCCTATTGGTTCCAGAGGGATAAACGATGAGCATCAACGGCCCCCAGAGTGTCAAGTTGCACCCCTCATAGCTCCGCCTGAATTACAGAGACCCTGAGAAATCATGAGAAATCGAGATTGCAACAGCTTTAGGCCCCTGTGTTCTGACATTATATATGCATATGCTGCTATATAAACAGGTCATTGTCCCAAGGACTTTTTCCACATATTGGACATGGTTTTCAGAAGGTCTCATTGGTATCCATACTTTTTTTCGTCATTTATCGAAGTTTGTTTGCCAATATCCGCAACCATTTCTAATGTTTTATCATACCTCAATTCTTTATTGCTTTCGACATTCCTTTCAGAAAAAAAACCCGGTCCTTTTTTGTTGCGTACGAACAAAACCCGTTTTGTTGGTGAAATTGCCATTTTGACAAGTTTATGTGCCCGTATTTGGTATTTACATATCCCCATATCTAACATGGGCACAATCGGGGCAAACCTTAGAGAGGCCCTGGCAAAAGAAAAATATGTTTGTTGCCTAAAATCGGCGCATTGGTGGGGTCGGTCATCCCAGTTTTGATGATGTGTCAACTGTTCATGGTGAAGTCTCTGTTTTATTGATTGATTATAATACGTCTCTGTCTTCAACTTGCTAAAGTATATGAAAGTATGTACAGACACTTGGCGAATTACTTCATCTCCTCAATCGAGTTGGTCGGTCAAATCCCTAGTGATATCAAGGGTCAAACGAAATAGAATCTGTTAAAATTCCCCAAGCCAACCCACCATACCCGTATGGCTTCGCATTCATGACATCACAGTGATTCTTGGACCATCGGGACAAGAATTTCAAAATGACGCCGTTGGTCAGGTCCCTTGATTCATTGAGAGCGTCTCTCTATTCATTATTTATATGTATATGTATATATATATATATTATTTATTGATTTATTTATTTTGTGAGGTAAAGTGGCAGAAAACCGTGAAGTCGTTGCTTGATGGGGAAAAGAACCAATAGTTTCTGCAGATATTCCCTTGGACCAATCCATTGATCCAACACCTGTTCAAGAGTGATGGGAACACCTTCAATTTTCTAACTTTACCCTTTGGTAAACTAACATAACTATGGAAAATCACAATTTTTAATGGATAAATCCCCTATTTCTATGGCCATGTTTTTTAGCTATGTTAAATTACCAGAGGGTATACAGCTTAAAACAATGGACACCCAACAAAATGCTAAAGCCGTATTATTCAACCTTCAAAATGAACACATGAACACCATGTGAAAGCTGTATTCATAGTCATCCCCCCAAAAAATAGAATCTCGGGGTTCATGTAAGTAAAGCAATGGGTTTTGGACATGGTTCCACCATCTCCAAATTTACCATTTTGATGGGTGGTATCAGTGGTATCATTCCTAGTTTTGCTACTCATTAAATCACTATATGAATCACTATTAATCACTATTAATCGCTTATTAATCATTATTAACCAGTATTAATCACTCTCAACCATTACAGGTTGGTGGTTTCAAACAGCCGTGGGCTCTACACCTACCAGCAGGTGCGGCCGTGCCCTGCTGATCGTAGAGCGTTCTGTTCACCGAGTTGTGCCATGGACCTTCATGGCTCTTGCCGAAGTTGACGCTGGAGGTTGTCTCTTTGCCGTGGTCATGGTGGTGGTCTTTGATCCTGCGCATGTGGGCCACTTGGTTCGTTCTGTCCGCGCTGGGACTGGTATGGTGCGTACTGGCCTCTTGGATGGAGCTCCTGATGTGCTCACTCTGTTGGATGTGGTCCTGGTGCAGCAATTCTCCATTCCGTTGCTGAAGGTGGATGATGGTACTAAGGTGTTGTTTCACTCACTGCATACCTGGGAGGACTTCTTCAAACTGGTCGATGCTTGCTGCGGGTTAGATGGTATGACACATGGGGCCCATGCCGTTGGTGTGCAAACCATGGTTGCTGTTGACTCTACTGCTTGTATGGTGAACTTACACAAGGTTCATGGTGAATACGTGATCGGTGATGCTGGCTGTCCCCAGGTGATCGCTGGAGTGTGGCCCAAGTGCAATCATGCTGCGGTGATGAGTGAGGGATCTTCATGTCAGCTGTTTTCCCAATTGGGTGATCGGAAAGGAGGGGCAGACCCTCGTGCTATGTCCCTTCCTGACAAACTTAGAGTTGCACTGTCTCAGAGTGTTCATGGTTTGGTACTTGCATGCGTTGTACTTGCATGCAGAGATATGTTCGTCTCACAACACCTTGATAGGTTTGTCGACTTGTCTGGATTTGTGAAGGAGAACATCAACCTCGAACTCTCTGCTATTGGTCAGGTACAACCGTTGATGCAGAAACAAACACAGATTGACGGGCAGTTTCTGGAGTTCACCCACCATCAGTCTCAACAAGTAGCGAATCTACAGGCCCAGATGCAGGCTCAGTCTCTACAACTTCACGGCCAAAGTGAGACCCAGTACCAGTGCATCCAGGCTATGTTTGAGAATCAGCTTTCTCATACGCGTGGCTTGTTGCGGAAGCGCCTGAGAGATGATGGTGAATGTTGGGGTGGGCCTGAGCTGCATGGCTCTCACAGTGGTATGATGATGATGGGGTCTTGTTGTGCCGTGTGGGTAATTGCTGCTATGATGCCCTTCTACCAGGTTTTGGGGTTTGTGTCAACTGCCTGTTCCGCCAGGGCCTGCCACTGTGTCAGGTCTTGGTTGTTTACGCTGTTGATCTTTTTCAATGTTTGCCGGATTGGAGAGACCTCGTCTCCAGGTCCGGTTATTCAGGCTTTGCAGCCGCCTTGACCACAGTGTCGCCACAGTCAAAGCACTGTCTTCTCAACCCAAGACAGTGCGATACACAAAGCGGTACAAAGTGGTGGTTTCAAACATGTTTTATTTTCCATATATTGGGAGTAATCATCCCCAATTGACCAATATGTTTCAGAGGGATTGAACCCACCACGCAGATTTATTTTAACCATTAATTCCATAGATAAATTAACATAGACCCTGAAAATCACCAATTTTGAATGGAAACGAATCTTCCAACCCCATAATTCATGCCAGGGTCGTCATGTTAATTTACTGGAGGCTAATTCATACAAGGTGGTGCCCCCCAAGTTATAAGTTGGTTTATAATCCCATCAACTATATAGATATATCACCTATAAACCATAGTTATTGGAGTTATGTTCACCAACTTAAACTAACATAACTATGGAAAATCATCATTTTTATTGGGAAAATCCACTATTTCTATGGCCATTTTTATCGAACGGGGGCACCACCTTGTAGATCATCCACCATCCCAGGACCCCGACAGCGCGTTTTTGCACGAGACCCTGACGCTGCTCTGGGCCGATGTCTGGAGCACCTTCGACGAGACCGCGACGCCGAAAGCGGCGGAAGCGGTGGAATGGCCACCTGCCACGGCGAGAAAAGCGTCCAAATGGCTGGTGAAATCTCACGTTCATCCATGATAAATGCATATAAATGCTGGGTGTTAATGAGAAATGGGTGATTTAACTAGTGAATTACAGGAAGAATCTTGGATAAATGCTATTTTAATCCATGATAGATGAACGGTTTTAATGGGAAAACAGTAGATAGTGCGATCGAAATGGTGAATTGCATGGAAAATCCATGAAAGTGTGGTTAAATGCTATGTGAACCCATGAAAAATGAAAAATAGTGGATGCCAATCCAATGGATAATGGTTACTGGTGTTAATGGATATAATGGCTAATTACTGTAATTATTGTGCCAAAAATGTGGTTTACCATTGGTAAACAAGAGTGGGGGAAATCCTCTATACATGGAAGTTTATACTGGGAAAATTATTTTACAAATGGCAATCCACATGTTTTGATCTCACCAGCAATTCTCAAGTTATATATATATACATACATATGCACATATATACATATATATATATACATACATACATACACCTAATTATCTATGCATACATGTGTGTTAATAATTTGTTTGGTTGTTGTTATTCAACATGCACCTGTTGAAAATGACACGGTTACAGGTGATTTAGCTGCAACACATGGTCATTTTCTATATTTTCTATCTTAGTGCACGGCTGAACATGGTGATTTAAAATGATTTAAATACTATTAAATATGTCAATTCTATAGCTCGTGTGGTCCTCCCCTTCAGCATGGATCGGCATCTACTGGGATCGTCCCAGGTTATTGCTGCGAGGGGCACCTGCCAACATTTTGCTGCCAGAGGATCCTGACTCCTTGAAGATGCGGATGAAGGGTTTACGACTGCTGGGTGGCTGGGTCCGCCCGAGAACTCCCGTTTTTTCTTAGATGCGGATGGCCTGGGATGCCTGGTGAAAATCATGAAACATCGAAAACGCACAAGACATATCCTGTTCGACTTTCTTGTTTTGGGCTTCATGACTTTGAACATTTTTTCCTAAACCCGGCTGAGATCATGCATCTTCTCCACAGAGCCTCGTCATTGGCTGTTGATGTTAGATGCCTATAATTCCTTAAGGTTCATTGCTTCAATCACCATGTTTGGTGAGATATGGTGAGATCGATGACGCTTAAATCCGCTTTGATTCTTCCCGATTTTGTAACTAAATGTCAAATCACGCACGGGACTTTCCATTGGATAGTGTGCCCAAGGATCCACATTCTCATAGAGGAAATCATATTTTACGTACGTCGCTTTGGAATTTCCATAAAACGGGATAAAACGGGTCGGAATACCATAATTGTGCGACTATTTTATATACACGTTTGCCATCAAACATATGCCTCGGACTGTATATAGCATCCAAACAAAAACAACCAACAACAACAACAGCAACAGCAACAACAACAACAACACCAGCAACAGCAACAGCAACAGCAACAGCAACAGCAACAAGAACAACAACAACAGCAACAGCAACAGCAACAACAACAACAACACCAGCAACAGCAACAGCAACAAGAACAACAACAACAACAGCAACAGCAACAACAACAACAACAAACAATAAAACAATAAGAAACAATATAACTTAATTACCACTATCATCGTAGGTTTTTACTGTTCTACCGTTTTTTGGGTTACCACACAGATATATTTTTGGTGATTACCCTTTGGTAATTGAACGTGGTAATGGAAAATGGAGACTTTTTGCAGATCATCCATCTATAGATTGTCAATATGGATTCACACAATTTTTTCCTTCGGTATTTTAGATTGCCTACGGTATTTCCTGGAATATTCACTATTTATTGTTTTCCCATCTAGAAACCTCCGTGTATAATGGATGATTAACATAGGATTTAGCCACACTTCTGTGGATGTACATGGACTATCCATGTAATTCACCATCTAAAATCACAATTTAGATCACACTATAAATTGTTCCCCATTTTTCATGGTCTAAGATAGGATTTTCCATGAAAACCTCTTATCTTTCATTGTTTATATAGCAGAGGGTATGATGAGTACAGTACTAGTTATGGCCCTCAACAGTTATATATAAATGCTTTTTCATTTTTCATGATATATATATATATATAACCGTAGTTATAGGACTATAGGAGTTATTGTTCCATTTATAACTGTTAGAGAGAACTGTTAAGGGCCACAACTGTATGGCCTAAAGGACCTGCATCGTGTGATAGGTCACTTGGGCCCCCGCGTTGCTGCCGCCTCCGCTTCCGCGGTGGCTGGCTGCTTGCGCGATCCCGACGTGAAGGGTCGCCGTGCGGCGGCGGCTGCATTGGCCAAACTGGGGCAGGGCGTGAGTGGTCCGGAAACCTGGATTGAATGGGATTTTCTTGGGATTTCATGGAATATTCGATAATATCAGAGGTGGGATTTTAGTCGGATTTAATGGGATTTTATCTGAATTTAGTGGAATATTAGTGGGACTTTAGTGGGATCTAACAGGATTTCTTGAGGTTTATTGGGATATTGGGATAGGTATACAGAGATACATATTTTATATATATATTATGAATTTTCAAAGTAGGTGTGAATTTGGATGCTTGGAACGGGGTACGATTGGAGGGTACGGTTTTGAGGTCATGGTGCGGTACGATGGTACGGTTTTGGGCGGTTTTGGGGTCATGGCACGATATAATGATAAGATATGATTATGATAAGCTTTTTAATACATAGTGCGATATGATGGTACTGCATTGGGGTATGATATGATACGGTGATATATTATTGAAATCATTGAGATGTAGAAGGTGGTGTATACCACGGCAGAACTTGATGATTGTAGACTTTTAACTGAACATGATCATCAACCATAGACACCTTATTGTCATTGCTGAAATAGTAGTTCTTGCTCTAAACCCTAAAAACCGAATCTGTGTCCGGCGGAGGAAACTACTAGACTCACATAAATAAGCGCTGTAAATCATTTTTATGTTGTGAAGATTTCAGGATACGACAGCACATCTCGCCAGAATATCATGTATCTTATCTTATTTAGATTCACTGGTTTTGCTCAATGGGCTACGCTGATGGCCTTTGAGGCCTGTGTAGAAACTCACACAAACAATGACAAGAAAACCGCATGCTTTAGTGCAAATCAACATCAACAAACAACAGAACCAAAAAGCAAACCCAACACCAACGTACACAAACAAAAAACTAACCCAATAAAAACCAACCCAATAAAAACTAACCCCAAGCACCAATCGAACATAAAACTACCAAGGCAACAACAAAACACCAGAACAACAACAGGAAAATGGAGAACATGGATGGCACTGAAAACCGAATATAATACTCTACAACTTTGATCAAGTTGATTGCAGTGGATGGAAAAAACATCCTGCACCAGTTGATAGCTGTTTTATCCCATTATTTACAGGGTTTCCACCATCCAAGCTGGTGCAGGATTTCTTACATTCATTGTTGGGAAGCATGCGAAACAAATAAATGACATGAAAGGAAATAAAAGAACACTAAACGAAATCAAATGAAATGAAACGAATTGAACATGACAAAAACTGACGCACGCCATCAAAAGCACAGCAAGTGGCATGCATGGGACGGCATGCATGGCACCAGGATTCTAAACAGTCTGTGCGATTAGCAATTTGTTGTGTAGCTCTTGCATATTGGAAATTCTCGAGTATTTAGTTTCACATATTATATTCGGAGTTTGGAATTGCAATTTCTGGTTAAATGACACACAAGTGACCACATCAACGAACTCACAAGCAGACCCACGATTCGACAAGAAAAATGCAGCAAATGCACTCACACGCAAGCAAGGACCATACAGGGGCCCATAGAGGACATGGATTTGTTACTGTAGCCAGACGTACATGGACGCAGCTCACCCGTGGGCCATACAAACCAGGTCGTGGTTTGTGACAAGTCTTGTATCTTGTATGTCAGTAATATTCACAACTACACAAAAAGTAGAAAAAGCAAACAAACGCGCAAGCAAACTCAAGTAGAAATGCAAAACAAATGACAAACAAACACAAACAAAAAAAAACAACTGATGTGGCCCCTTTGCGTTTGTGGTCGCGGATCCAATCTGCTTTAGCTCTGAAAACCAAAAGAAAACACAAAGATAAACATGATAAACTCATTTTGTTTGAGGGATCAGAGGCATTTGTTTAGGGCTACTGATTTCCACCTTGGGCATACTGTATACTAGAAAAAGTAGTAGTGTGCGCGTCCGCATAAGTTACACGAAACGGCATGTGGCCCAACATTTACCAATCCAGAAGTCATCTTTGATCATGACCCCGTGACCTATCGGAAATATTTTATTTCAAGTGGTGAGCCACCAGGGCCACTACCACTACCATCACATACTACAGTGTCAAAACCCCTCACACACACAGCCTTAGACGATTCAGTCCGCTTGTCGACGCAATCTCCCCTCATGAACTTGAAGTCTGAATGCTTTTTGTGTACAGTCTAGATGCCTATATAGCACCAGTATCACATACATGCGTCCCTGCATGAAGAAATGCGCTAATATATACTAATATCATGTATATTTAATATATGTGTCCAACAAAAAATAACATACAGTGCCTTGCATCTAGAGTGTGTCTCAATATTAACAATCTACCCTTTTGTGCTGCATACATCTGCACACTTCATTTGGCTGAGCTGTTATCCATGTGTGTTCTCACACAATCCCTAGATTGCTCAATTTGCCCCCCGCTTTGCATTTGATGTGCTTCACTTGCGTTTCATGTGTTGCTATTCCATATATTGATATATATATATATATTGATATATATTGTATGTATAGTTGTATGTGTGTGTGCGTTCGTATCCTTATTGCTTTATTGGGTGAATTTCTGCGCCAGGCATTTGCCTTGCGTCTGAAACATGTTAATACATACGAGGCTTTGTGTTATTTTGCGTTTGGGTACCTGATGGTACCTGCATATTCCCAGTCTTGTGAACTACACCATAGTAAAGGTGTTGAATGCTCAAAAAACATCCTAAGCATCAATGCCGCTCCATGCTAACTGCGCTATATCTGTCCCCAACAATTCGACCCGACTATACCCCAAAACCGTACCACCGTACCCTACCATTGTACCAAACCGCACCCCAAAACCATACGACCGTACCACATCATACCACAAAACCTTACCACTGTACCACACCGTATCCCAAAGCCGTACCTCAAAACTTTATAAGTTGGTATCCTTTCGTAGGGTCGGGACTGTGCGAGTGTACCCCAAAACCGTAACCCGAAAACCGTACCCGAAAACCGTACCCCAGAACCGTACCCCGTACCCGTACCCAAATAAGGACATATATCGATATACCTTTTTGAGTGTACCAATACTAAGTTAGTATTGGTACACTCAAAAAGGTATATCAATATATGTCCTTATTTGGGTACGGGTACGGGGTACGGTTCTGGGGTACGGTTCTCGGGTACGGTTTTTCAGGGTACGGTTTTCGGGGTACGGTTTTGGGGTACGGTTTTGGGGTACGGTTTTCGGGGTACGGTTTTGGAGTACGGTTTTAGGGTACGGTACGGTACAGTGGTACGGTAGGGTGCTTAGTATTGGTACACTCCCGACCCTACGAAAAAATACCTCCTTTTTCTGGTATATACAGTAAGTGAGACTGTTTTGGGGTATGGTTTTGGGGCGCGGTGCGGTAGAGTGGTAAGGTATACGGTATACGTTGGTACGGTTTTGGGGTACTGTACAGTACAGGCGTACAGTGGTATAGTTTGGAGTTGTTCAACTCCGATCCAAACTTTGCGAATATCGTGCTGAGATGGATTGAAAATATTGAAACTACACATCACGTGAATTTGTCTGATGCACTCAAGTGACTTGTGTCCGACCTAGAGCAGTTTCCGTGGTACAATTTTTGGGTACAGATCCAGGTCAGTTATAGAGCGAATATATGCGATCATGATTTATGGAATTGCGGTTGCAAATCTCTAGAAAGGCCACTTATCGGAATTTGAATTTTCATGTGCAACATGCGTAAAAAAACATCAAAAGGCTGTATATATGAATCACACTAAATCACAGTTTAAAACCCATTCAAACTACATTTGTTCATGAATGTGTGCTTCCAAAACCACATTGAAGAAAAGCAATATTCTGAGACAACTCTTCTGGCCACCCACAATGATCGAAATAGGAGAAACACTTTGAAACAAAAAACAATATTCTGAGACTCTCTGCTGGCCACCCCCTGTCCCTCCCAATAGCAAGACTTCTTGGAACGCGCTTTCGTTTTGACTTTTTTCAGCAAACCTCGAGACTTTTGGGAATGTTGTTTTTTGTCTTGATCTCCTAGAATCCCAATCTCAGGATTTCTGGAACAGCGTGTTTCTGGATGTTTCTGGTATATTTAATGTCTTGTTGAAACCAAGACTCAATCAAGACTCCTGCAAAACCTTTCGTATTATTTGTTTGATATTCTTTGTCTTCTGCAGGGGAGCCAAGACTTCCGGAAAACTAGTCTTAAAAGCAAAAAACACTTTTCAGCTGCAATAACTATTTGTACTTTTTTGAAAGGAATGCTGGTTGTTTACGAGTTTGCATTGTCAGAAACACACCACTTTCTGACAGGAATACTGTAATGATTTGTAGCGCAATTTCACTGCTTGAAAACAACACCGAACTTGAAGAGCGCTACCCTTTCAAAAGGATTTGTCAAAGACATGTTTTTTTAAGCATTGCAGTTGTCGACAGAATAGCATACTATATGTCAAAAGGAATTCCATGTTTTTGTTGCAGGGAATACTTGATATTTTGAACAAGTACTATTTCTTTGAAAAACACCGCATCTCTCAAA